GCTTGAAGGAGATGATGCGAGGCCTGATTGGCTAGATCCGCTACTCTGGGAGGGTCTAGTCCAGTATTGGTTAGATCCGGCAAACGAGAAGAAGAGTGGCAATTGCCGCAAGGCTCGATACAGTGATCCCGACGGATATGGGATTTCTAAGCATCGTTCTGGTCAGACGTCTTTCACTGCCCGTGCTCGAAAGATTGTAAGTTTTTTCGAATTTATTTTTTATCAATCTAATTGCATATTATTTAAGTTTTATAATAATATTTTTTGTTTTTTTAGTCTCTACGGACCGGAATAGATATTCCGGATTTGCTAGCTGTCCTCGAGGAGACAAAACGCAAGCCGGATGGATCTTTTGTCGATGGATATTCGGAAAAGATCTACAAAGACGTCACTTCGAAGATGGCGGATATGAGTCAGGCAGATCCGGATGATCCCGAGGGTACACATGCCGAAGTGTCTGTAGCTGACAAGAACAAGATCTTTATTGAGGTAATTGTTTTTTTTTAATTTTTGTATTTTATAAATTTACATATAAATTTCTTTTTTTAACATTTTATTTTATTTTGTAGGTTGCTCCCCATAAAAAGGGAAGAATATTCGGAGTCGGTTCTTTGCAGTCCCAAATCGATTTTTCAGGTGTATTTGCTTCTTCTTCATCTCACCCCGACACGGAGGCTATGAGGACTATTATCGAGGATCAGGCCCGTCAGCTTCAGACTCAGTCTGAGAAGCTTGAGTTTCAATCTGAGAAGCTTGAGTTTCAATCTGAGAAGCTTGAGTTTCAATCCGAGAAGCTTGAGACTCAGTCTGAGAAGATGAAGAGTTATGATATGCTCTTCGACTATCTGGCGGCGAAAGATCCACAGTTTGCTCAGTTGAAAGCTAATATGGCAAGTAGTTCGACTAATCCTTCTGAGTCGGATTTGTAGTTTATTTGCTTTTATGTCTTTTATTTACATTAGTTTTTGTAATGACTTAAATTTTTAATTTTAGTTTTAATTATATTTTATGTTTTATTTATAATTTTATTTGTATTTACAATATTTTTAATTTGATTTTTTCGTATAATATAAATTTTTTACTAATAATACTATTAATAATGCGACTACATTGCGACAGCACAACTAATAAATTTGCGACGGATTTGCGACTTCCTGCTAATAATTTTGCGACGGCTTTGCGACTTCTCTTCTAATAAATTTGCGACGGATTTGCGACTTCCTACTAATAATTTTACGACGGCTTTGCGATTTCTTTTCTAATAAATTTGCGACAGCTTTGCGACGGCTCGTCTCGATAATGTGGTTTGTAAGTTTGCAAATGATGTCGCAAAGCCGTCGCAATGGGTACAAAATTCCGGCAGCAACTTCCACGCAACTCAGTCGCAATCTTTGCGTCCAATTTGCGACGACATGTTTTGCGACGAGTTTGGAAGATTTCTTTCTGTCGCAATACTTGCAACGAATCGTTTTGTCACAAAGTTTGCGATGGATGTGCGTTGACTTTTCTCCGTCGCAAAATTTGCGACGGACTTGCGACGTTTTTGGATTTGCGGTTAAGGATTTGCGACGTTTTCTGTTTCGTCGCAACATCGCCGCAAATGTCCTTTTGCAACGTATTCGTCCGACGCAAATGACCTGTTTTCTTGTAGTGTATAGACGGTTAGTTTCTCTTATATATTCTGTATTGACTGTTAGTTTCAGGTCGTTATCTGAGATCAAGAGAAGGCTAAACCAACACTGCATTGACTGTTTTTCTTTTCTTTCTCATATCAACCATAGAAAGAAATAAAGTTATACCGAGTCAAATATCATAATCACTAGGAAGAGATCAATACCGTGCAAACCAAGTCATCATGTTTTATGTACCCTTTTTCTCTATATTCATTTGTTGTTGTTGCTGCGGCTGTTGCACTTTCTTCTTAACCTCCCACTTTGAAAATAATTGATTTATATGAATTACTATTGGTTTACAGTCATAAAGAATTGTTTAACACAAACAGTTTATAACATATTTAGCTTTTATTTTTATTTATGATTATTGTTTTTCCACACATGTACTAAAAGCTAACTTGTTTTATTTTTAACATTACAACTTGATTTCATCAGTTACCAATGCATGTGTCCATACATCGTTGATAAGCATAATAACCATACAAGAAATAATGACTGCAAGAGAGCGTGCAATCAGACTCTGAACCACCTTGACCGCGATTAGTGATCATCATCATCTTTCCATTACATTTGTCTTTGCAGTTGTAGTCGGTGGTTACTTGGCGGATACGCAAACTTGGCTTCTGGCATAGCATCTCACATAACTGGTCCACTTCCATGGCACCAGAGAGTGTTACTGTTACAGCACAGATCAACAAGATCACTATCGTTGCTCTCATGATTGATTTATATATATTACAAGTTCCTAAAATCTTAACTAGTACTTTGGGTGATATCTTTTAGGTGTATTGATGTGTACTTATATAGAGGCGGGTGCATGCATGCATGCGTAAGGCATGCAAGAAGCCATGTGCTTCTATGATTTTTCTTTACCATCCACTTGTTCTATCTAAATTCCTCAACACATGATCTGTCTCTTCCACCTCTTTGACTAAATTCACCGGTGAATTATAACGTTGATGTTCTCTTAAAATGTCACATACAACTAATTCTATTAATTTAGACAATTTGGAAACATTTTTGTATGTCAGATTTTTTACTTTCTCCATAGCCTTCTTTACTTTCTGCATCTTGGTTCAACACTTATATAGTCGGTTTCGTTTCTTGCGTATACTCTTTGTATATTGAGTGTCGTTCTCTGAGATCAAGAGAATGCTAAACCAACACTACATTGATTGTTAGTTTTTTTTGTTCGTTTCTCTTTTAAAGCATATAAAACAAGAAAGTCTGAATCTTTAGAAAGATCCATTTTAGAAGACTAAAAAGTTTTATTTTCTTAACATTGCAACTTGTATAGTAAAATGATATGTGATATATACACATCACTAGTCTTAGATATGATATTCAAAACATTTATTTGATCTATACATGTTAGATTTTAATTTACAGCAAGAAGCTAGTCAAGGCCAAGATCATATAATTATATAGTATTTTAAAGTATTATAATTTTAAGTTTAAGCAGAATAAAAAGCCACCAATGTTGTAGAAAAAAACAATTTTTTTTTTGGTTGAATAAATATAATATTCATAATTTTTTTTTAAAATAAAGATAATTAAACGATTTAATTTTCTGATATTTCAGGTGAAGAACTCGGATCAGCCAACTATGCAATCCCATTCTTAGCACCAAATGCTACCGGGAAAGCTTTATTAGCCGGTGTGAATTACGCATCTGGAGGAGGAGGAATCATGAATGCAACTGGAAGAATATTTGTACGTACCAAACTAATTTTAATCATTTGGATTTTTATAAAAAAAAATGTCTTAAAACTCTATTTAGAGCGAGTTCTTAATTTTTTTGTTTATTTTACTATTTGGTTAGGTGAATAGATTAGGTATGGATGTACAAGTTGATTTCTTCAACACGACAAGGAAACAATTCGATGATCTACTTGGGAAAGATAAAGCAAAAGAGTATATAAGCAAGAAATCGATATTCTCAATCACAATAGGAGCAAACGATTTCCTCAACAACTATCTATTCCCACTTCTCTCCGTTGGAACACGTTTCACTCAAACTCCTGATAATTTTATCGACGACATGCTCGATCATCTACGTGACCAACTCACCGTAAGCAACAAATGTTAATTCTCATTGATTTTCATATCATATGTTATAATCGAATTTATATGATTGTGTAATGCAGAGGTTGTACAATTTGGACGCGAGGAAGTTTGTGATCGGGAATGTTGGACCGATAGGATGCATACCGTATCAGAAAACGATTAATCAGTTAAAAGAAGACGAGTGTGTGGATTTGGCTAATAAGCTAGCGAATCAATACAATATTCGATTAAAGAGTTTGCTTGAGGAACTAAACAAGAAACTCCCCGGAGCAATGTTCGTCCACGCCAACGTCTATGATCTCGTGATGGAACTCATTACTAACTACAAACAATACGGTAATATATATTTTCTTCAACTTCTACAATTCAAGAACGTATACTATACTAGATATACACACGTTTTCACGTTGAGTTAGTGCATAATTGTGAGTATATATGATGGTTGTAGGGTTTATAAGCGCGACTAAAGCTTGTTGTGGTAATGGAGGACAATTCGCGGGTATAATACCGTGTGGACCCACTTCAAGTATGTGTGAGGAAAGAGATAAGTATGTGTTTTGGGATCCTTATCATCCGAGTGAAGCAGCGAATGTTATCATCGCGAAGCAATTGTTATATGGTGATGTAAAAGTTATATCTCCTGTTAATCTCAGTAAACTTAGAGATATGTGAAATTTGAATTGTTTGTTGAACAAATTTAAGTGTGTATCCTTTGGAGATATGAAAGACTTGTTACTTTCATGCATTTACGTTTGTTATACGCAAAGTTAAAGAATCGATCTTTGTATGCATTGTATGTGTTGCCGTGTATAATTGTAGTGAAAATGCCTTTTGTTTTGTTAAGATGTGATTTATGTCAGCTTCCTGGTTCTTCTTCTCCATTGCCTCCAAAACAAGAATCAACTAACTTCTGGTTCTTCTTCTCCATTGCCTCCTTTTCATGTCAGCTTCCGAGTTCTCTGGGATCCCAACTTTGCATTGACTGTTAGTTTTAAGCCTGTAGAGTTCATGGAGTTGGATTGTTGGTAGACATAACTATCTGTTAGAGCATAATAAATCTCTACAAGCGTTTTGTGGATGACAATGCTAAAAATACTATATGATCATTTTTTTTTTTTTTATATGGCAAGTTTGGACCAACTTTACATTGACTGTTAGCTTTACGTCGTTAGGGGTTTATGGAGTTAGTTGGTTGATTGGATAGAATCTTATGATGAATATGATATTTTTTTTTTTTACTATTTTGGAGTGTTTTTTAAAAGAAAATCTAAACGGCAAGACAAAAAGTTGTTATTAGCTTTTGAGTGATTCTATTTGCACTTCCGATGTTGAAGAGATTTAACAGGTAAACCTGTGATATAGATTGACTTTATTATAGTGAATCTGTGATACATTTGGAGCATATGATTTCAGCATTTCCCTGTTTATTTATGCATATCTATCTGCGATTTCCAAGAGATGAGCACAGAGTTCTTGAGGCTTGGAGAACATTGGCATATGATCTGCATCTCTGATCTCTATCACTTCTTTTGGAGGAAAGTTGCTGCTTATCCAACGCTGGTATTCATCAGATACTATATTATCCTCTCCACATATGATATAAATACGTGTAACCGATCCATACCCTTCCTCACTAAAGCTTCTTGTCTCTGCAAGATTGTCTGTAATTAACGGGTTTACCCTCGCCAACATCTTCGCCAGTTCAAGATCCTAACACATGACAAAAATCAATCCCACTTATGAGCTTAAAAAGAGAGAGATTTGATTAGGCTTGGAGTCTTACTTCAACTGGAGACAACTGATAAAATTTCTCAGCCAAGAACTTTGGTCCAAAGAGAATACTCTGTAGAGGACAATCAGGTGTCCCGTAACGACCAAACACCGTGTCCAAGAACTCTTCTGGTGGAATGCTTCTGACCAACTGCCAGATTTCACTCAAGATATCAGAATCATTTGAAGTAATTGTTCCGAATGCTTCTTACTTATGTACCTTTTCAACAACGTAAGCAGGAGGGTTTTTGGTGTCGGGCATGGAAGATGTCAAGAAGACAATAGCAGCGATCTTACAAGGGAACATGTCTGCAGCGAGAGCAGCGGGTACGCCTCCCGCGCTATGAGCGACAAGAACCACCTTTTCGTCTGAGGCAAGCGAGTCCATAACCTCTAGCAACGGCTTAGAGTAATCCTCTAGCGTCTGAATCTCTTCCACTCTGGTCGTGTTGATACCCGATGCAGCCAGATCAATTGCAGAGACACAATGTCCTGCAGCCTCTAGCTTTGTTTTCACCTTGTACCAACTCCAAGCGCCGTGGCAGCCTAAATGGACTAGCACAAAGTGTTTCTGGTTCCTCTTCTCCATTGCCTTCTTGCTTGTTTTTTGCAGTTTCTTGGTTTCAACACTTATATCACTACAAGAAAACAGCAAAATTTGCGACGGCGAATGGTGGTCGCAATTTGCGACGCGTTTGCGACGGATTTGCCAGAGAAAAATAGTGTCTCGCTAATCCGTCGCAAATTGCGACATCAATAGCCCGTCGCAAACCGACCGCAGCTTTGCAACGACATTGCGACGAACAAACAAGGCCGTCGCAAAATACATCGCAATTTGCGACAGGAAAGAAATTCTGTCGCAACTTTGCGACCAACTTGCGACGAATTTGCGTGGATACTCAAAGTAGGTGAACCACGTTTTACTCCCTTCCCACCGGCCTAAGTAGTTAGGTACGGAGTCGCAAATCAGTCGGTTCTGTGTCACAAATCCGTCGCAAATTGCTCGCAATATATTATGATATCGCAAATCTGTCGCATTCGTCTGTTGCTAGGCCGTCGCAAAATTTCTGAATGTCTATAAATAACCTTCGGGAGTTAGTGAAACAATCACAACAGAAAGAAAGAAAGAAAGAAAGAAAGAAAGAAAGAAAGAAAAAAGAGAAAGAAAAAAATAAAGAAAAAAATCTTATAGTTTTCAAAAAATAAGAAAATGATAGATTTTAAAAAAGAGAGAAAAGAGAAGTGAGAAATTAATATTGAGAGAATGTCTTCAGAGCATAGCATATATGCGTTACGATCGTGGATGTACAATCATCGAGATCCGGAGACTGGCGAGGTGACGAAAGAGTTTAGGGATGGGTTTCGAGCATTCTTATATCAGACGACAAACCAATCATTTGCAAGGGAAAACGGTAAAATATTCTGTCCATGTAGGAAGTGCAAGAATGTGCCATATTTAGAAATTGATACCGTGAAGAAGCATGTATATAATAGAGGATTTATGCCGAACTATTATCTATGGTTTTTGCATGGGGAAGATAGTAGTGTTGCTACGGTTGGAAGTAGTAGTATGGATCAGAGTTTAGAACAGCCCAATTATAATGTTGATTATGAACATTATGGGCAAAATATGTTTGGAAATGTAGATGAAGGGTATCAACAAGGGAATAGGTTTCATGATATGGTTGTGGATGCAATGCATGAAGCTCCAGCAACCTCATTTGTTGATAATATTAGAGAAGAACCCAACGTAGATGCAAAAAGGTTTTATGATATGTTAGATGCTGCTAATGAGCCTATCTACGATGGATGTAGAGAAGGGCAGTCGAAACTGTCATTGGCATCTAGGATGATGACAATTAAAACTGATAATAATCTCTCTGAGGTTTGCATGGATTCGTGGGCTCAACTTTTCAAAGAGTATCTACCGGCTGATAATCTTTCTGCTGAGAATTATTATGAAATACAGAGGTTGGTTGCGGGTCTTGGCTTACCATCAGAAATGATTGATGTATGCATTGACAATTGCATGATATTCTGGAAAGACGACGACAAGCTGCAGGAATGTCGATTTTGTGGGAAGCCGAGATATCAAGAAACTACTGGAAGAACTCGGGTTCCATACCAACGTATGTGGTACCTGCCAATCACTGAAAGATTGAAGCGGTTATACCACTCAGAAAGGACGGCGTCAGCAATGAGATGGCATGCAGAACATTCCACAGAGGATGGAGAGGTTACACATCCTTCAGATGCAAATGCGTGGAAGCACTTTCAGACGGTATATTTAGACTTTGCTAGTGAGGTTAGAAATGTCTACCTTGGTTTATGTACTGATGGATTTACTCCATTTGATATGTCTGGGAGACAATATTCTCTATGGCCTGTCATCTTGACACCATACAATTTTCCTCCCGATATGTGCATGCAAAGAGATTTTTTGTTCATGAGTATTCTAGTTCCTGGTCCTAAGCATCCAAAGCGCGCACTTGATGTGTTCTTACAGCCTCTGATTCATGAGTTGAAACAGTTATGGCATTTCGGTGTTCGCACATTTGACAACTCGCAGCAACGGAACTTCAACATGCGTGCAGTGTTATTGTGGACTATCAGTGACTTTCCAGCATATGGAATGTTGTCAGGGTGGACTACGCATGGAAGATTATCTTGTCCATATTGTCTGGATAGTTCAGATGCGTTTCAACTAAAGAATGGAAGAAAGCCATGTTGGTTTGATTGTCATCGTAGATTTCTGCCGGTGAGTCATACATACCGGAACAACAAGAGGTTGTTTAGGAGGAACAAGGTTGTGCGTATCCCTCCCCCCGTTTATCCAGCAGGCAATGAATTGTATGAGCAAATTGAATACTATGGTGCGCAGGAAACGTGTAAAGTAGGGGGAAATTGGCACACACCAGCTAACATGCCTGACGGATATACTGTATCTCATAATTGGCATAAAAAGAGTATCTTCTGGGAGCTTCCGTATTGGCAGAATCTCCTCTTACGACACAATCTTGATGTGATGCATATCGAGAAAAAAAATTTCGATAACATTGCCAATACAATCTTGAATGTCAAGGGAAGGAGCAAAGACAATTTGAAGTCAAGGTTGGACTTGCCTGAACTATGTGTAAGACCTGAGTTGCATATTACAAGCGAGGGAAAATTACCTGTTCCAAACTTTCGATTGTCCGGAGAGGCAAAGCGGGCATTATTGGAGTGGGTTGATTCTGATGTTAAGTTTCCAGATGGATATGTGTCCAAATTCTCAAGATGTGTTGAGCAAGGCCAGAAATTTTAAGGCATGAAGAGCCATGACTGCCATGTATTCATGCAACGACTGCTACCGTTTGCACTAACCGAGCTCTTGCCAAAACAAAGCCATGAAGCTATTGCAGGTAAAATAAGTAAAAAAATTATATAATGTTCTTTTTATAAGTAATTAAGACTATTAATTAACGTTTATTTCTGTAAGTTATTAACTATATATATATATCTTCATGTAGGCATTGGAGCTTTTTTTAGGGATTTATGCACCCGGACATTGACTAAGGAGGGCATCGCCCAACTGGAAGAGAATATCGCCGTGTTAATTTGTAACCTAGAAAAGGTTTTCCCTCCTTCATTTTTTGATGTCATGGAACATCTGCCAATCCATCTACCATATGAAGCAGCGCTCGGGGGGCCTGTGCAATTCCGATGGATGTATCCGTTTGAGCGATTCATGGGACATCTTAAAAGGAAGGCTAAAAATCTTGCTAAGGTGGAGGGATCGATTGTTGCGGGAAGTTTAACCGAGGAAACTTCTCACTTCACCTTATACTACTTCAGTCCAACGGTGCGGACAAAAAAGACCGCCACCAAGCGATATGATGATGGAGGAGAAGCACCGACTTATCATGTTGACGTGCCAGATATGTTTGCTCAGATAGGCAGACTTGCTGAAAAAGTTAAGGAAGTTTGGTGGGAGGATATTGATCATTGTCGTGCGGCTCATAATTATATATTGCGGAACTGTGAGTATATACAGCCGTTAGAAAGGTATAAGAATAACTTAATAAGTACATTCTTTAATTATATAATATTACAATATTTGCTCGAACTGACTCTTGAGTACAATTTAGGTTATTCGACTCTCAGGTTCGAGAACATTATCCTGGCTTAGAAGAGAAAGAGTACGAGAAGTTAAACGAACGTGATTTTGCTGGGTGGCTTAAATACTTTGTACGTAAGATCGACATATTTATATATATGTTATGTTGTTGCGAATGCGTTGGATTAACTAAGTAATATTTCCAGGTTAAGCATTGTTCGACTGAGCCTTCTCCACTATGGTTGCACGAACTTGTAGAGGAACCTATAGCAAAAATCGTTTCTGCTCCTATGTACTTTACCCGTGGATACACATTTCATACATATAAACATGGGTCAAAGAGGTCAACCGCCAATTATGGAATCCATGTCAAGGGTGAAACTGACTACTACGGCATATTACAAGACATAATCGAAGTCAGATATCCAGGAACCATTAATTTGAGATGCATACTATTCAAATGTGAATGGTATGATCCGAGTTCTCGAGGGGTCCGTGCGAACAACTTAGGAGTGATCGACGTAAATGCAAACATGCGAACAACTTAGGAGTGATCGACGTAAATGCAAACAGACGTTTTTCAAAGTTCGAACCCTTTTGTCTGGCCTCGCAAGCGGAGCAAGTATGTTTTATTCCTTACCCTCGGATTAAAGTCAAACGCGAAAGATGGTTATCAGTGATAAAAGTGAATCCGCGAGGCTGTATTGTCGCGCAAACAGATGATGTCGCAATGCAAGCTGAAAGAGTAGATGCAATCTCCATGCCAGTCGTAACAACAGAACAGATCATACATGTTGATCCACAAAGCAGAGAGATTGATGAGGACATCGTTGATGATTCAACAGAAGGCATAGGATCAGACGAGTTTGATGAAACCGATGAAGCAGAAGACAGTGATGAGGATACTTCAGAGGACGATCAATCTGAATGAACTCTGTTTCATCTGTTTCAGAGGACGACAAACCGACGCTCTTGCGACTGATTTGCGACGGTCCTCTCGCAAGAACGTCGCAAAATCACTTGGTAATTTTAAAACAAATTTCAAAATTTTAAAGATACAATTATATGAAACAGAGTTCAGATTGATCGTTCTTATCGAACTCACGTCTGATCGTATGCATTACTAGTTCAAAGGTTTCTATTCTAGGGATGAAGGTTTAGGGATGAAGGGTTTAGGGTTTGGGCATTGATATAGGGATGAAGGTTTAGGGTTTGAGTTAGGGTTTACGCTTTTAGCTAGCAACCAAGCTTTTGAACATTCTATTGTTTCTTATTTATAATGAAAAAGAACCATTCATTCCTAAACTCCGTTTCCTATAGTAGTTATATTAATTTTTTTAAAAAAATATAGAATCACTAATAATTTTGCGACATATTTGCGACAGAGCCGTTGCAAATCCGATGCAAACTGAGAAATTGCGACGAATTTGCGACGGCTCCCTCGCTGGTTCGTCGCATAATGTAGAAGTTTAGGGTTTAAAGAACCAATGTTATGTATGATATATGTATATATCTGTGCAATTAAACATATATATAGTTGAAATTAAACATTTATATATATAGTTAATCGATATACATTTTTTAAATTATATTTCTATCTTAACATACATTCCTATAATCAAAAATTTGCTAACTACTTATATTCCTAAGTTTTTGTTTGCGACGGAGTTGCGACTCCACGCGAAAATTTTAAAAATTTTCGCGAACTTTGAAAATATTCAGTTACTAAATTCGAATTATTTCATTATTTGCAACTATTTTGCGACGGATCCGTCGCAAATCCGCCGCAAAAGAACGCGCGAATTTTATTGGACCGCCCCTTTTGCGACTGGATTGCGACGGATCCCTTTATTAATTCTAAAAAGTCATCTTCTTCCCCCTCGACGCCACAGACACTCACGACCCAGTTCCTCTCTCCGCCGCTCTGTTGGCCGCGTTCTCTCCTCCTCTTCGCCGCTCCGCCGCTCTGCTGCTCGCCGCCGGTCTAGATCTGTCCCTACTCCCGCCGTCGCTAATTGCTCTCTTCGCCGCCGCATCCGTCGCCATCTTCTCTCGCCGCCGTCGTTAATCAGTCTCTTCGCCGCCGCATCCGCCGCAGTCTCTCGCCGCAATCTCTCGCCCACTCACCGCCGGATCTGTAAGAATCTCTCTTACTTAGCTTCAATTATTTTCTCTTGATTTTGGAATTAGAAATAGTTAGATTTAGCTTTGATTTACAGATTCGAATTAAAAATTATTAGATTAAGTATTTTAGTTTTAGGAATTGAAATTATTAGTTTTGTATTTGATTTACAAATTAGAATTGAAATTTATTAGATTTTGTATTAGGTTAGTAGAGATTAAAATTGTTAGATTTAGGTTATTTTGTTTATGATGATTTTGTTTTAGATTTAGGTTATTTTGTATAAAGTTTTTAAAACTGTATTTGATTGAAATTTTTAGTATATATGATACTTGCAAATTTAATATATGATTTTCTAATATTAGTTTATGATATTTATAATTTTAATATATTATTTTATAATTTTTGATATTTATTAATTTTGAAATTTTGTTTTGAGATAGTTTAATGTTCTTAGAATTAGATTAATAATTTATATTTTAGATTTTGTAAATTTTTATATTTAGATGTATTTGTTGAATTATGCATTTTTTTCAATGACTTGTTACTAATATTTTTTTTTTGCAATTTCAGATGTCTAGAAATACATATTCTCAGTATGCTTCTCGGTTTACTCCTCCCGGGTCTAGTTCGCAGGCGACTCCTACTGCTGTTCCCGAGACCCAACCCCCTCCACCTCCACCTCTACCGATATGATGTTCTGCTGCGGATATTGCTCATGATTTTGGCAATCCGCACTCTTTTGGAGAGTCCCGATCATGACAATGTAATCCGCCTTGTACCAGACGGTCCTCATGGTACATTATGGTAAAATATTCTTTTCTTATTATTTTAATTAAAATATATATTTTTTTTCATTTTATATAATATGTATGTATTTTTTGCAGGTTTACGGATAGTTGCTTGGGTACTTCTATCTGTGAGATATTTTTCGAGAGATCTCAAAAGTGCAACTCCTAATGTTACTCTCACTTCTGAGGCCACTATTCAAAGGTGGTATGAGCAATTTGCAGTAAGTGTTATCAAGTTCTGATTTTTTTATATATAATTTTTTAAAAATTTATTTTGACTCTTACTTATTTTAATTACTGTTTAACATTAATTTTTTTTTATTTTTGGCAGCAAAAATATCATTGGGACTGGGGCATCAATGAAAGAGTGTACGATGAGTTCAAAGCAAAACTCAGGAAACGGATGACAGATCACATTGGCCGGTGGAAGGCGAAGTGGAAGCTTGAAGGAGATGATACGAGGCCTGATTGGCTAGATCCGCTAGTCTGGGAGGGTCTAGTCCAGTATTGGTTAGATCCGGCAAACGAGAAGAAGAGTGGCAATTGCCGCAAGGCTCGATACAGTGATCCCGACGGATATGGGATTTCTAAGCATCGTTCTGGTCAGACGTCTTTCACTGCCCGTGCTCGAAAGATTGTAAGTTTTTTCGAATTTATTTTTTATCAATCTAATTGCATATTATTTAAGTTTTATAATAATATTTTTTGTTTTTTTAGTCTCTACGGACCGGAATAGATATTCCGGATTTGCTAGCTGTCCTCGAGGAGACAAAACGCAAGCCGGATGGATCTTTTGTCGATGGATATTCGGAAAAGATCTACAAAGACGTCACTTCGAAGATGGCGGATATGAGTCAGGCAGATCCGGATGATCCCGAGGGTACACATGCCGAAGTGTCTGTAGCTGACAAGAACAAGATCTTTATTGAGGTAATTGTTTTTTTTTTAATTTTCGTATTTTATAAATTTACATATAAATTTCTTTTTTTAACATTTTATTTTATTTTGTAGGTTGCTCCCCATAAAAAGGGAAGAATATTCGGAGTCGGTTCTTTGCAGTCCCAAATCGATTCTTCAGGTGTATTTGCTTCTTCTTCATCTCACCCCGACACGGAGGCTATGAGGACTATTATCGAGGATCAGGCCCGTCAGCTTCAGACTCAGTCTGAGAAGCTTGAGTTTCAATCTGAGAAGCTTGAGTTTCAATCTGAGAAGCTTGAGTTTCAATCCGAGAAGCTTGAGACTCAGTCTGAGAAGATGAAGAGTTATGATATGCTCTTCGACTATCTGGCGGCGAAAGATCCACAGTTTGCTCAGTTGAAAGCTAATATGGCAAGTAGTTCGACTAATCCTTCTGAGTCGGATTTGTAGTTTATTTGCTTTTATGTCTTTTATTTACATTAGTTTTTGTAATGACTTAAATTTTTAATTTTAGTTTTAATTATATTTTATGTTTTATTTATAATTTTATTTGTATTTACAATATTTTTAATTTGATTTTTTCGTATAATATAAATTTTTTACTAATAATACTATTAATAATGCGACTACATTGCGACAGCACAACTAATAAATTTGCGACGGATTTGCGACTTCCTGCTAATAATTTTGCGACGGCTTTGCGACTTCTCTTCTAATAAATTTGCGACGGATTTGCGACTTCCTACTAATAATTTTACGACGGCTTTGCGATTTCTTTTCTAATAAATTTGCGACGGCTTTGCGACGGCTCGTCTCGATAATGTGGTTTGTAAGTTTGCAAATGATGTCGCAAAGCCGTCGCAATGGGTACAAAATTCCGGCAGCAACTTCCACGCAACTCAGTCGCAATCTTTGCGTCCAATTTGCGACGACATGTTTTGCGACGAGTTTGGAAGATTTCTTTCTGTCGCAATACTTGCGACGAATCGTTTTGTCACAAAGTTTGCGATGGATGTGCGTTGACTTTTCTCCGTCGCAAAATTTGCGACGGACTTGCGACGTTTTTGGATTTGCGGTTAAGGATTTGCGACGTTTTCTGTTTCGTCGCAACATCGCTGCAAATGTCCTTTTCCAACGTATTCCTCCGACGCAAATGACCTGTTTTCTTGTAGTGTATAGACGGTTAGTTTCTCTCATATATTCTGTATTGACTGTTAGTTTCAGGTCGTTATCTGAGATCAAGAGAAGGCTAAACCAACACTGCATTGACTGTTTTTCTTTGCTTTCTCATATCAACCATAGAAAGAAATAAAGTTATACCGAGTCAAATATCATAATCACTAGGAAGAGATCAATACCGTGCAAACCAAGTCATCATGTTTTATGTACCCTTTTTCTCTATATTCATTTGTTGTTGTTGCTGCGGCTGTTGCACTTTCTTCTTAACCTCCCACTTTGAAAATAATTGATTTATATGAATTACTATTGGTTTACAGTCATAAAGAATTGTTTAACACAAACAGTTTATAACATATTTAGCTTTTATTTTTATTTATGATTATTGTTTTTCCACACATGTACTAAAAGCTAACTTGTTTTATTTTTAACATTACAACTTGATTTCATCAGTTACCAATGCATGTGTCCATACATCGTTGATAAGCATAATAACCATACAAGAAATAATGACTGCAAGAGAGCGTGCAATCAGACTCTGAACCACCTTGACCGCGATTAGTGATCATCATCATCTTTCCATTACATTTGTCTTTGCAGTTGTAGTCGGTGGTTACTTGGCGGATACGCAAACTTGGCTTCTGGCATAGCATCTCACATAACTGGTCCACTTCCATGGCACCAGAGAGTGTTACTGTTACAGCACAGATCAACAAGATCACTATCGTTGCTCTCATGATTGATTTATATATATTACAAGTTCCTAAAATCTTAACTAGTACTTTGGGTGATATCTTTTAGGTGTATTGATGTGTACTTATATAGAGGCGGGTGCATGCATGCATGCGTAAGGCATGCAAGAAGCCATGTGCTTCTATGATTTTTCTTTACCATCCACTTGTTCTATCTAAATTCCTCAACACATGATCTGTCTCTTCCACCTCTTTGACTAAATTCACCGGTGAATTATAACGTTGATGTTCTCTTAAAATGTCACATACAACTAATTCTATTAATTTAGACAATTTGGAAACATTTTTGTATGTCAGATTTTTTACTTTCTCCATAGCCTTCTTTACTTTCTGCATCTTGGTTCAACACTTATATAGTCGGTTTCGTTTCTTGCGTATACTCTTTGTATATTGAGTGTCGTTCTCTGAGATCAAGAGAATGCTAAACCAACACTACATTGATTGTTAGTTTTTTTTGTTCGTTTCTCTTTTAAAGCATATAAAACAAGAAAGTCTGAATCTTTAGAAAGATCCATTTTAGAAGACTAAAAAGTTTTATTTTCTTAACATTGCAACTTGTATAGTAAAATGATATGTGATATATACACATCACTAGTCTTAGATATGATATTCAAAACATTTATTTGATCTATACATGTTAGATTTTAATTTACAGCAAGAAGCTAGTCAAGGCCAAGATCATATAATTATATAGTATTTTAAAGTATTATAATTTTAAGTTTAAGCAGAATAAAAAGCCACCAATGTTGTAGAAAAAACAATTTTTTTTGGTTGAATAAATATAATATTCATAATTTTTTTTTAAAATAAAGATAATTAAACGATTTAATTTTCTGATATTTCAGGTGAAGAACTCGGATCAGCCAACTATGCAATCCCATTCTTAGCACCAAATGCTACCGGGAAAGCTTTATTAGCCGGTGTGAATTACGCATCTGGAGGAGGAGGAATCATGAATGCAACTGGAAGAATATTTGTACGTACCAAACTAATTTTAATCATTTGGATTTTTATAAAAAAAATGTCTTAAAACTCTATTTTAGAGCGAGTTCTTAATTTTTTTGTTTATTTTACTATTTGGTTAGGTGAATAGATTAGGTATGGATGTACAAGTTGATTTCTTCAACACGACAAGGAAACAATTCGATGATCTACTTGGGAAAGATAAAGCAAAAGAGTATATAAGCAAGAAATCGATATTCTCAATCACAATAGGAGCAAACGATTTCCTCAACAACTATCTATTCCCACTTCTCTCCGTTGGAACACGTTTCACTCAAACTCCTGATAATTTTATCGACGACATGCTCGATCATCTACGTGACCAACTCACCGTAAGCAACAAATGTTAATTCTCATTGATTTTCATATCATATGTTATAATCGAATTTATATGATTGTGTAATGCAGAGGTTGTACAATTTGGACGCGAGGAAGTTTGTGATCGGGAATGTTGGACCGATAGGATGCATACCGTATCAGAAAACGATTAATCAGTTAAAAGAAGACGAGTGTGTGGATTTGGCTAATAAGCTAGCGAATCAATACAATATTCGATTAAAGAGTTTGCTTGAGGAACTAAACAAGAAACTCCCCGGAGCAATGTTCGTCCACGCCAACGTCTATGATCTCGTGATGGAACTCATTACTAACTACAAGAAATACGGTAAATATACATATTTTCTTGAACTTCCACAACTCAAGAACGTACACTACACGTTTTCACGTTGAATTAGTGCATATTGTGAGTATATAATATGATGATATAAAATTTTGTAGGGTTTATAAGTGCGACTAAAGCTTGTTGTGGTAATGGAGGACAATTCGCGGGTATAATACCGTGTGGACCGACTTCGAGTATGTGCGAGGAAAGGGATAAGTATGTGTTTTGGGATCCTTATCATCCGAGTGAAGCAGCGAATGTTATCATCGCGAAGCAATTGTTATATGGCGATGTAAAAGTTATATCTCCTTTTAATCTCAGTAAACTTAGAGATATGTGAGATTTGAATTGTTTGTTGAACAAATTTAAGTGTGTATCCTTTGGAGATATGAAAGACTTGTTACTTTCATGCATTTACGTACGTTTGTTATACGCAAAGTTGAAGATCGATCTTTGTATGCATTGTATGTGTTGCCGTGTATAAATGTAGTGAAAATGCCTTTTGTTTTATTGGTCGACATAGTTATCTATTAGAGCCTAATCTCTACAAGCGTTTTGTGGATTACAATGCCAAAAATCTATATGATCATTTTTTTTTATTATGGCAAGTTTGCACCAAGTTTACATTGACTGTTAGCTTTAAGTCGTTATGGGTTTATGGAGTTAGTTGGTTGATTGGATAGAATCTTATGATGAATATGATATTTTTTTTTTTTACTATTTTGGAGTGTTTTTTTTGAAAGAACGTCTAAGCGGCAAGAGAACTTAGTTGTTATTGGCTTTTGAGTGATTCTATTTGCACTTCCGATGTTGAAAAGATTTATAGATTGGCATTATTAAAGTGAATCTGTGATACATTTGGAGCATATGATTGGCATTCTTCTCCTTCTCCATTGCCTTCTTTCTTGTTTTGCAGCTTCTTGGTTTCAACACTTATATAATAGACTGTTAGTTTCTCTCGTATATTCTGTATTGACTGTTAGTTTCTGGTCGTTATCTGAGATCAAGAGAAGGCTAAACCAACACTGCATTGAGTGTTTTTCTTTTCTTTCTCATTTCAACCATAGAAAGCAATAAAGTTATACCGAGTCAACTATCATAATCACTAAGAAGAGATCAATACTGTGCAAACCAAGTCATCATGTTTTATGTACCTTTTTCTCTATATACATTTGTTGTTGTTGCTGCGGCTGTTGCACTTTCTTCTTAACCTCCCACTTAGATTTTTTTTTGAAAATAATTGATTTATATGAATTACTATTGGTTTACAGTCATAAAACAATTGTTTAACACAAACAGTTTATAACATATTTAGCTTTTATTTTTATTTATGACTAGGCATGCAAGAAGCCATGTCCTTCTATGATTTTTCTTTACCATCCACTTGTTCTATCTAAATTCCTCAACACATGATCTGTCTCTTCCATCTCTTTGACTAAATTCACCGGTGAATTATAACGTTGATGTTCTCTTAAAATGAGCACATACAACTAATTCTATCAATTTAGACAATTTGGAAACATTTTTGTATGTCAGTTTTTTTACTTTCTCCATAGCCTTCTTTACTTTCTGCATCTTGGTTCAACACTTATGTAGTCGGTTTCGTTTCTTGCGTATACTCTTTGTATATTGAGTGTCGTTCTCTGAGATCAAGAGAATACTAAAGCAACACTACATTGATTGTTAGTTTTTTTTTTCGTTTCTCTTTTAAAGCATAGAAAACAAGAAAGTCTGAATCTTTAGAAAGATCCATTTTAGAAGACAAGAAAGTTTTATTTTCTTAACGTTGCAACTTGACTATTTATTTATACATCTCAAAAAGATTGTTTAAAAAAAAAAAACACTACTCAAAGCTAGCTTATTGTTTTTTGTTTAGGCTTGTGAGAAGAGCCATATATCACTGTCTACTTATGCAATCTGCATAGCATTTTGCAAAACCTTCCGCTGACCCCATGCATTCTTGAGAGCATGATGTCCAGTTAGTGATCATCATCACCTTTGCATAGCATTTGTCTTTGCAGTTGTAGTCGGTCGTTACTTGGTGGATACGCAAACTTGGCTTCTGACATAGCATCTCACAGTATTGCTCCACTTCCAATTCCATGGAACCAGAGAGTGTTGCTGCGCTTTCAGATACCAACACAGCACATATCAACAGGATCACTATCGCTGCCCTCATGACTGATTTATATATTGCAAATTCTTAAATTCTCATAACTAGTATCTTTTCTTGTGTGTGTGATGTATCTTTTAGTTGTATTGCTGTGTACTTATATAGAGACGGGTTCATGCATGAGAAGGAGAAGACGGGTGTGAGTACTAAGGCATGCAAGAAGCCATGTGCTTCTACGATTTTTTTCTTGCCATCCACTTGCACTACAAGAAATGAGTAGCATAGCTACAAATTTTGTTACATGAAAAAATAGTAGCAAAAATTTGTTATAAAATGATACAAATTAGTGACGTTATTTTTAAAAAAAAATTATGGCAAATTGGTAAGAATTTGTAGCGAATTAGAGACAGATTAGAGACAACTGTTGGATTGTCGCATATATGTTACAACTTTACTACACAGTGGTTGTAGCAATATTTAATACAAAAAATTATAGTAAAATTGTAATAAAATATTATAAATTTTTTATAATTTAGTTGGTATTACAAAATCCTTCACTACATAAAAATAACACCATTTACTAGGGGTAGATATTTTATCGGGATCTGAAAATCTGATCCGGATTTGATCCGAAAATATCCGATCCTTCACAATACCTGATTGGATATAATTGTTACTAACTTTCGGGTACTAAGTAATATTCGGATCCGATCCGATATCCAAAAAATTATCTGAAATATCCGAATTTCTAAGTTCGCTTAATATTTATGTTTTATATTCTTTGTATTTATATTCATGAGGTAAGAATTTGAATATTTATTATTGTTTTAAATTTTAAATTTTAGTTAAATTGAAATTGATATTATTTTAGTGATATTTGAATTGTTATGTTTAGAATTTTGGTTAATTTTGAGTATTTGGTTAGATTTAGTTATTTTTTATTATTTTTTGGATAAAGTACTTGAAATCGGATCAAATCCAAAAAAACGAATCCAAAAAATTATATATGAACTGAGCCGTATTCAAAAAAGATCCGAACCAAATCCAATCCAAAATATAATAATATTCAATCGGTATGAAAGCTATAGTAGCAAAAATACCTGAAATCCGAAATACCCAACCCGATCGGATGCAGTTCCTATGAAAAATGTTGTAGGAAATTAGTTAATAATGATTATTTTCTACCAATTTTCTATAAAACTATGTTATATCTTATTTTTCGTTGAAAATCAAATGTAGTAGATAACTTGTACGGAATTTCCAACAAAATATAATTGTAGAAGAATGTGGTAGGAAATTGGTGGAACAATTATCTATCAAAAAATGTGGTAGGAAATTGGTGGAACAATAATTTATTCCTACCACTTACCTACCAAAAATATTAAAAAATTTCCTACTATTTTCCTACCAATCTCTATACCATATGACAGTTATTTCCTACGAGAGTAACAAAAATTTAATTACAAAAATATGATAATTAAATTAGGTTCGAAAATTAAATTTGTAATTAATTATAAATTCAAATAATATCATAAAGCCAAATATTTTAACAATACAAACAATATTTTAACAATATCCGAATATGTTGACAATTCCAAAAAATATATACACATCCGAATATATTAACAATCTCAAAAAATTATAAAACAGAAATTTTATCAATATCTGATATTATTCTTCATCTGATCTAACCTTGAGTCTCATCAGAATCATATTCTTCGACCGGAGTTGTTGAAGGATAGGGAGGACAAATACCTGGAAGCTTCTCAAGGACTAGCTTGTTGCAATGCAGGAGATATTGAATTTGGGTGCTCAGAGATTGGATTTAAGCATGTTTCTCTATTTGATCCTTCTTCATTGTCTGAATCTCATTTCGTAATTGATCTTCATGGGCTACATTTGTCGATTTGTAAGAAGATGTGTTTCTCTTATCCCTTAATGTAGCAACACCAAAGCGACGTCCTTTAATCTTCGGGATTTCCTGAGGATATAACATTTTAAGTGAAACAATCATAATAATTTGCCAATTTGAGTGAAACACAATCAAAATCTAACTTACTTCTAGGACAACAGCATTAATCTCCGCTTGGGTGAGGGGCTCCTCTTCTTGAGCTTGCCGTTGAGAAGCAATCTGAGCTACCTTAGCCATAGCAGTCTCGGTTAAACTTTGCGCCTTCTTGTCTTTAACACCTGTTTTAAGATTTGTGTGCATGACATCAATGAATGTCATTATATCAGGTTCCTCCCCACCAAGTTCAGCTGTCTTTTATGAGTTTCAAACAAAATGATAAGTTAATAAACCACCGTTGGAAACCATAACCAAATAAATAATAAACTGAGGCATGTGTTCTTGTGTATTACCATTTCATCCCATCGCCTTTCTATGGTTTTGGCTCCGTTGTTGTGTATTGCCATTCCTAAACCACCTCTATCACTTTTTCGGTTTCTGGAGTTTTTGGCTGCCAAATTTGCCACTTTAGAATCTCTCCACATTCTCTTGTAACCATCGAAAAGTGATTTCTTTGCTTTCATCCATGCTGGTATGTCATCTGGTGCTTTTCTTTTCAATGTCTTTTTCCACTCACTCAAGTTTGACTTAAAAGACGCAGTGGCTTGAAGTTGGTATGCAGTGCGGACTGTTTCAGTAATGCTTGGGTCCCAACTGAACTCTTGCTGGATATGAAAATAAAAGTTATTAGAAACCTAATTAAAAAAAGAACAACTTAATGATAAAAGATGCTAAAACTCAAAAAACAAATCTGGAAACAGCCTTACTTCATTAATAAAGAACAATGGCTCATAAAGAACAAGGCGAAACAAACTGGTCGTAAATTCTAGCTACAAAAAGTGAATCTTAAATCTTTTGTTATCATCAACAACTTCTTGTTCATGTTCGTCTTCTCCATTGCCTTCTTTACTTTCAGAATCTTGGTTATCATCAACAACTACATTGACTGTTAGTTTTTTGTTTTGTTTTCTCTCTTTTAAAGCATAGAAACACAAGAAAGTGTGAATAAAAGCATATAAAAAAAGAAAGTCTGAATCTTTAGAAAGATCCAAATACAAATACCAAAGTCGCTTAGTTGTATCTAATCCAAATACATTGCATTCTTTACTTTCAGCATCTTGGGTTTTTTTTTTTAACGCTGGGTTATAATATTCAAATCGGAATGTTTCGAAATACATAGCCCAAAGGCTGAAACAGAGAGACGAAGAGCTAAAGCAGAGGAATAAAATGTTGGAACAGAGAAGAGACGAAAAGAAAAGAGCCAATAGGCAAAGCAAAAGAGTAAGGGGAAGAAGGCCTGCAATTACATTCTTCACCGAAGAGGGGGGTTCCATAAACCAACATGGGCCCCGGTCTAATGTCAATCAGATGGTAATCCGGTCTAAAACTAAGTATCTAATAACCAATATAAAAACCAAAAACCAAAAACCGTGTAGCCAGATCTGGTAAACGAACCGATCGGTTTAAAAATCCCGGTTTTAGCTTCATATAAATCTTTTCGATCTTTCCTAGGGTTTCTCGGCTCTCTGCTTTGTTTCGCCTCTTGTTGTCGCCTCTTAAGTTTGTTCCCGTTAGTATAATTGTGTAGAAGATTATGGTCATGGAGTAGAGAAACTGAGAATGCTAGTTCACTTCAGTTAAAAATTGCTTTTTGTAGGATTCTTCACTACACAATTTTCAGGTTTTTTTTTGCATAGAAAAAATTGGTTTTAGTGCTGATACTTTAGGCATATATTTGTGGTCATATATGCTGTAAAGGTGTAGGCTTTTATACAACCATCAAATACTATCATTTGCTTAGATCTTTTAGTGATGTTTCTGGTTTTTATTTAGGCATATCTATTTGCTATTTCCAAGAGACTGAGTTCTTGAGGCTTAGGTAGTTCATTGCCATATTATCTGTATCTTTGATACCCATTTTCAAGATCAGAAAACTTTGAACCAATCATTGAGGAACCAGCAACACCTGAAACTAGATTGTGCAGACATTGAAGATTATCTTGTCATCTGGGGTTTCTGGTGTTTCCGGTTCCTCGATAATAGGTTCACAGTTTTTGGGATCTTGGTGCCTTCTTTGCTTTGTCTTGACTCTTGAGCAAGAAATAAAGACTGACGAAAATTGACCACAATAGACTTGGGACTGTCTCTACTCTCGTTGATTGTTACTGCCATGTAACGCAAGCCGTAAAAAGAATACAAACAATGAAAGTGACTATCTTGAGAGAAGTTCAATGTTTCTACAACTTGCTCAAACAGAGTGACAGGTTTCTTAAGTAGACATTTATGCTTCAAACTGTTGCTTTGTCCGTCTGTCTCTCTAAGCTTTGTGTGTTGTGTCTCTTCCATATCTATGACTAAATATACTGGATAAATTGTTGATCATATATCGCTGATGTTCTTTTTAAATGACCGGTCTTCAAACGGAATTCTCAAATTGACCCACATCAGATGTAGTTTGTTTAGTTTCAAACGGAATTCTCAAATGTTTTCACTGGTTCTTGTGCTTGTGAGATCATAGATGCTGTAAAGGTGTAGGCTTTTGTTTTTCTCTATCAAAGATTCGAAAAATTGCTCTGTTTTAGTTCCCATTAGTATGATTGTATAATGAATCTTTCTGGTTCATATATTTTGATTCATATCATTTGATTACACATATACAATGTACTCAACCCTGATCGCTCACATCTAGCTTATTATCAATGCAGTGAAAGCGGAATCTTGTAACTAATATGCATTGAAGATCTCAGGTTTATTCAGGCATGTTTATCCGCAATCTCCAGGAGAAGATCACAGAGTTCTTGAGGCTTGGAGAACATTGCCATGTGATCTGCATCTTTGATCTCCATCACTTCTTTTGGTGGAAAATTGCTGATCATCCAACGCTGGTAATCCTCGGGTATCAACTTATCCTCTCCGCATACGATATATATACGAGTAACGGATCCGTAACCTTCCTCGCTAAAGCTTCTTGTTCCCGCAAGATTGTCCGTAACTGTCGGGCTTACCCTCCCCAGCAACTTCGCCAATACAAGATCCTAACACGCCACAGCAACAATCAACAAAAGATTCACTGAGGTTACTGAAGTAGAGAGATCTTTTATTTGAAGCTTGGAGTCATACTTGGATAGGAGAGAGTTGAAACACGTTCTTGGCCAAGAACTTTGGTCCGAGAAGAGCAAACTCAAGAGGACGATCAGGTCTCCCATAGACTCCAAAGACTGTGTCTAACCAATCCACTGGTGAAGTACTTGACTTCTGCAGAAAATTCAGTCGGATATCAGAATCATACCTTGCAACAGAAGTCATCGTTTTTTATGTACCTTTTCGATAACGTAAGCAGGTGGGTTTCTTGTGTCGGGCATGAAAGATGTCACGAAGACGATAGCAGCGATCTTACGAGGGAAGATGTCAGCAGCAAGAGCAGAAGGTATTCCTCCCATGCTATGAGCAACAAGAATCACCTTTTCGTCACCACAAAGCGAGCTCAGAAACTCGAGCAACGGTTTGGTGTAATCCGTCAATGTCTGAACCTCTTCCAACCTCGTCATGTTTATACCCGATGCAGCTAGATCCACTGCGGTTACGCAGTGACCTGCAGCCTCGAGCTGCGTTTTCACCTTGTACCAGGTCCATGCGCCGCTGCATATCCCATGTACGAGCACGAACCTCTTCTGGTTCTCATTCTCCATCGCCTTGTTTGCTTTCAGCATCTTTGGTTCAACACTTATATAGATGGTTAGTTTCCCACATATTCTTTGTATGTCTAGATCCTTCTTTTGAATAATTTATTGCATAATCCAACATTTTCTTCTTCTTTCTTCTTTTGATTCGTTAACGAGACTCTTCTGTCTAATAGTGTGAGAGAGAAAAACTAAGTAGAGATCCACACGGCTAAAAAACTGTTAATTTCTGAGAAAGAGATTCAATGTTAGTGTGATTTCACTTTTATCTTTTCCTTAAATAAAGAAAGAGTCACACCTTTAAGGATGACTGTTCATTTCTGAGAAAGAAAACAAATTAGTCTGCGACTTAGACGATGTGCGTGACAAAATCCAATGTTAAGATATGATTGTGTAATGAATCTTTTTTGTTTCTCTTTTATTCAGTGTTCTGAAATTGGTTTCAATGATGTTATCTCTCTGTGTCACTTATGTAGGATATCGTTGGCATAAATAGTGCTTTTATTCATTTCTCTCAGAGATCTTATTTATATAACCTTATCTGATACATATAGACTTATTCTCTCATATGGCTTATTACAGTATTGTGGTGAAAGCTGAATTGCTATTGACGATCGCAGGTTTGTTTAGGCATACTTATCCGCAATCTCCAAGAGAAGACACAGTTCTTGAGGCTTGGAGAACATTGCCATATGATCTGCATCTCTAATCTCCATTACTTCTTTTGGAGCAAAGTTCTTGATCATCCAACGCCGGTAATCTTCTGACAACACAAGATCCTCTCCGCACATAATATATATACGTGTAATGCATCCATATCCTTCCTCGCTGAAGCTTCTTGTCCCTGCCAGATTGTTTGTGACTAGTGGGTTCACCCTCACCAACATTTGGGCCAATACAAGATCCTAACACGCCACAACAACAATCAACAAAAGATTAGACTCACTAAGGTTACTAGCACAGTCTCATTCGCTTGAGGTCTTACTTGGACCGGAGAGAGTTGATACACTTTGGCCAAGAACTTTGGTCCCAAAAGACCAAACTCAAGAGGACAATCAGGTGTCCCGTACCTCCCAAATACAGTGTCTAACCATTCCTCTCGTGAAGTGCTTCTGAGAAACTGTAGATTACAGTCAAATATCAGAACCACTTCAACTGTGAAAACCAAATCCATCATGTTTTTATGTACCTTTTCGAAAACATAAGCAGGTGGGTTTCTTGTGTCAGGCATGAAAGCTGTCAAGAAGACAACAGCAGCGATCTTACGAGGGAAGATGTCAGCAGCAAGCGCAGCGGATATACCTCCCATGCTATGAGCAACAAGAATCACCTTTTCGTCATCACAAAGCGAGCTCAGGTACTCGAGCAACGGTTTGCCGTAATCTTTCAAAGTCTGAATCTCTTCCAAGCAGGTCATGTTTACACCCGACGCAGCTAGATCCACCGCGGTCACACAGTGCCCTGCAGCCTCGAGCTGCGTTTTCACTTTGTACCAACACCAAGCGCCGTGACAGAGCCCATGGATGAGCACAAACCGCTTCTTTTTCTCATTCTCCATTGCCTTCTTCACTTTCAGCATCTTCTTGGTTCAACACTTTATGTAGACGGTTAGTTTCTTGCGTTATACTCTTATATTGACTGTTAGTTTCTTATATTGACTGTTAGTTTCTTACATTGGCTGTTGGGTTTTTTCATTATCTCATAGTATTAACCATAGAAAGCAATAAAGTCTGAAAGTGTTAAAATATCCATTTGCAGCAAACACTTATTTGTATTCAAATACATTTTTTTTACTAGAAAACATAGTTTAAGCGAATTTGTCTGCTATCTCCAAGAGATGTTCACTGAGTAGCTGAGGCTTGCAGAACATTGGCATATGATCCGTCTCTTCCATCTCTTTCTCTAGATTCACCGGATAATTATCGATCATCCATCGTTGATGTTCTTCTGTAATGATCTTGTCCTCTTTGCAGACAACGTAAGCTCGAGGAACAGATCCATAGCCTTTGTCTGAAAAGTTCTTTACCCTTGACAATTCGTTCATGAACAATGATCCGGGCCTCTTTAGAAGCAATCCAAGCTCAAGATCCTGAATCAAGATTGCCATATATATAAGTACTATCAATTTTATCATCATGATGATGATGGTGATGTTGAATTACCTCAATAGGAGAAAGGTTGTAGAGAGCGTGTCTCATGAACTCGTTGCTGAAAGACAGAGACACACCAGAATTGTCTGAGCCGTATGGTTCGAGCTTGGAGCCCAACCATGCTTCTTGTGGCATGTCCCCTCCAAACTCCTACTTGATTTACGTGTTACAATTCGGAGTTAGTTTTCGAGTTAAATACAAATTAAACCTATAAGAGCAGAATCGAATCTTAGAATGATATGTTGGTAAAACTCTAACCACTACTTTTGACTTTTAGTCAAATAGGTGAAAATTGTACCTACATATACGTTAAAATATTGTCAAAACATGATGTATGTTAACTTTATAGTCTTATAGCATATATACACCACAAAATATAAAGAATCTAAAAATGGAGAGCTAAGTAGCTAACCACAAATAATAAAGATTCCAAATATTGAAATTAATCTATATATATATCATCTGCTCAAGATTTTTTGAGCCGTCTTTAGTGAATAGTAGCCGAAGAATTTTAGCATGTTGATTTTTGGGTTGTGTAATGAATGGGTCGGTCACTTTTTCATTTTTGGTGAAATAGATTTTATTAAAATTTAAGTGGAGTTATGATAAAAACAAGAACTCCACTTATTGTGTTAAAATAATAAAAGTAATAGATTTTTAACTTGGAAGTGCTAGAATATCTTGAGACAAATCTCACATAATACTATAATATATTGAATAGTAGCCGAAGATTTTTATGTGCCGTCTTTAGTGATTGATTAAGACTATAATATATTGAATAGTAGCCGAAGAATTGAGCATGTTGATTTTTGGGTTGTGTAATAATAATGGGTCTGTCACTTTTTCATTTTTGGTGCAAATATGGATTTTATTAAAACTTAAATGGAGTTCTGATACAAACAAGAACTCCACTTATTGTGTTAAAATAACAAAAGTAATAGATTTTTAACTTGGAAGTGCTAAAATGGCTTGAGATAAATCTAGGATAATACATAAATAGCATAAACCGATCTACTTATTGCATGTTAATCTTAAGTTAAGTAGTTAAGTTAAAAAACAAATTTCTGAAAATAGTGTAATAGCTATAATTTCCCATTTTATAGTGGTTTGTCTTATAGTGATATTCCTGAGATGAAGATTCAAGATAAATCTAACATAAAGAAGAGCTCATAGAATTTATAAGATAAGGGGGAGATAAATCTAAACTAAGGAGAATAGTCAATGATTTCTAACAGAATGGAGAAATAATTTTCATATCTAGATACTAAAGTCTTGGACTAGATCATACTCATATATACGGTTTAATTAAGCTTCAATTCAAGAAAAATCTAGCTAGTTCTAATACAAACAAAACAAAAAAGTATTGGCCGTTAAAAACGAGAAATACCTTATCCATGACGAACGATGGTGAGTGTTTGGTATCAGGCATGAAAGCAGTCACGAAGACAGAGACAGAGACTTTGTCAGGAAACTTATCCATAGCCATGGCTAAGCTCAAACCTCCAAAGCTATGACCAACGAGCACAACCTTCTCATCACTTGGTATTGAGGCCATTAGCTGCATCAATGGCTCAGAGTATTGTTCGCATGTGGAGATCTCAGTGATCGACCTGGTTACGTCTATACCCGAAGCAGCTAGGTCTAAGGCGGTTACGCGGTGGCCTGAAGCCTCGAGCAGCGGCTTAACCTTGTACCAGCACCACGCACCGTGGCATGCACCATGTACTAGCACGAAGTGCTGCTTCTTCTTCTCCTCACTCATTTTCTTCTCTAATTTTTTTATTTTGTCTATTGTTTCCTACTCTTCTTCACACACCGACTCTATATATATAATATTTTTTTTTTTTTGATAACTCGCTTTCCTCTTTTATGCAGCAATACTTTAAATTTATGATTTCTGTGGATCTTGTTTTTGCCAAAAATAGTATTAGGAAGAAAAATAAAAATAACTAATGCGGATAAGAGTCATAAGACAAGTTCTAAATTTTAATATTAAAATATTAAATATTCTTCTAGAAGTTAATTGTATTAAAATATTAAATATTTTTTTCGTCCCATTTTATAAGATGTTTTAAAGTTATATGTTAATTTTAATGTTATTTGATACTTATCTCATTTTTGTTTATAAGATGTTTTAGAATTTTTTTATTTAAAATTAGATAATGTTTTTAGAAATTATGCAAAAAATAATTATATTAATTGTTTAAATTCTGTATATTTTTTTTATTGGTTGAATTATTTTATAATTAATGTTTTATTTTAGAAAAATAAAAAAATAAATAACTATTTAATTTATGTACAAAACCTTAAACATCTTATATAAAAAAACAGAAAGTATATTTTTGACTTTTCAAATTCTATAAAAATATTTATGATTGGTTGAATTATATTTTAAACTAATTATTAAATGATGTTTAAAAAATTTAGTGTTTAATTTTTATGATTTTAGGTAGAAGATCTTTTATTTTGGAAGAGAGGGAGTAACTAATTAGTTTTCGTAATGCTAAATTGTAGTATAGAGAAAGATCTTTAAAAAATACTCTTTCTATATTTTTATATAAGATGTTTTAAGATTTTTTCTATTTGAAAATATATAATGTTTTCAGAAATCAATGCAAAATTTATTAATAAATGACTTGTTTTATCCTTGAATTAATTGACAACCAAACAAATAAATAATAATAAATAAGGTTATGATAGACATTTTACAAATTTTCTTAATTTGTGTTTAAAGCTCTAAACATCATATAAACAAACAAAAAAACTGAGGGAGTAAGATATGTAAAATGGTGTTTGGAAAAAGATAGAAACAGACACATCAATCATGCTTTAAGCCACAAACTTAATTTACCTAATTCAAAGGCCACAAAATACATTATTATCAATTTGCAACAAGTCCTTAATTATTTAAAGTTCCCAAAAAAAAAAGCAAACAAACAACGATCCAGGTACATTTTCATCAAGATTGTTTAAACGAATTTTTTAGCAATTTTCAAGAGGTGATCACAGAGTTGCTGAGGCTTGCATAACATTGGCATATGATCTGTTTCCTCTATTTCCATCACCACATTCACTGGAAAATTATCAATCATCCATTTTTGAAATTCTTCTGGAATGCCGTTATCCTCTTTGCACACTATGTAAGCTCGAGGAACATATCCATACCCTTCATCTGAGAAGTTCTTCATCTTCGACAAGTCCCCCACAAACAACGATCCAGGTCTCTTTAAAAGCAATCCCAGTTCAAGATCCTAAATTAAGATCACCAAAGACCAAAATAAGTAAGAATCAAAATTGGTATTCGTTTGCTAACACTACGGTCATGATCTCAAATGGAAAATCCGGTTAACAAATGTTTTTGTTATCAATCCACTATCGTTTTTATTAGTACACCTTTATTTTAGTTTATGTAAACTGTTTAAAATGCTGTTGAAAATATAAACTCTTATAGTCTATGATTTTTTTTTCTGAAAATTATATCAAACATCTTAATTAAAATTGAAAAACTCAGACAAATCATTTTGAATTGAAGACCATATGCTTTTGTTTTCTTTCTGGCGCAATAACTAGAAAAACTAGAAAACGTCAAAAAGATATGTTTAAATATGCATGTAATTTAAATATTGAGTACTTTCTAAATTAATAATCAGTCCAGTGATCTCAAATGCATTCTGGTTTGATTTTTGGTTTAATTTTTAGAGACAAGGATAAAAAAAGTTAAAATATATAGATAAGTATTAAAATATTAAAATGTATGATGTGATAAATGAAATTACCTCAACTGTAGATAGCTGATAGAGAGCGAGCTTCATGAACTCACGGCTGAAGAACATACTAAGCCCAGAATTGTCTGAGCCGTATGGTTCGAATTCGGTGGCCATCCAATATGTTTCTGGCTTGTTGCTTCCAAACTTTTACGTCATAATTATTAAAAAAAAAAAATCCAAACTCAGATTTATCGGTCGAGTTTAATACTATTACATATATATATATATATATACACAAAATTCTGAAAATCCTATTCATAGCAGAAAAAAAAAAAACCATCGAATCCTGCGGTGGTAATAATCTGGTATTAAAAATCTCACATTAATTGGGAGTAAACTGTTTCCTGAATAAATAATACATAATGAACTAGACTAGACCCGGCTTATATAAATGATTACTCTACACAGTCTTATCTAATTTTGTAGGTATATAAATAAATTTGAGTGTAAAGGACCTTAATTTCTTTTCCTTGAAATATAAGATTTGTGTTTTAAAAGTATGTGGAGTTACTGTATATATGAAAATAGATTAATGAGAAAAGTGGTATTTCAATTCTGTTATTCCAATTTGGTTAACCAAACATTTGGCTCAATACTACAACAAGTTTCTAAGTTGACAAAAAAATCAAGATTAATAAAAAACAGCTTTACTTTTCTTTCAAAAAAATACAAAAAGGAAAGACAACTGTTTAGGAAAATAAAATCATTAACGGAAAGGGTCAAGATTTGAAAATAGTCTTGAAAATTTTGGGATTCGGAAAGGAAATTTATGGGTATAAAACAAAAACGAGAAATTTGGAAATCCAACAAAAATAAAACAGAAAACTATGGGTCCAGGACAGGAATCTGTAGGACGAGAACGGGAATCCCAAACTTTCAATTTAAAGATATATATTTTGGAAAAATTTAGAAATTTTTGGAAAATTTTTAAAAAATTGACAATTTTCATGAAATTTTAAATAATATAATTAGATTTTAACAAAATTCAAAAAATTATGTAATTTTTTAATTTATTAATTTTTTAAATAGTAATTCGAATTCTCGATCTGATTTTCTTACCCTTCCCTTGCCTTTCTCTTATCAGTTTGAATAAAATAAATAATTCTGAATAAAAATTTCTTAAATGGAAAAAGGAATGTGACATGAAATTTAAAACAGGTACAGAAGAAAACCTGATACCTGTCCCGAAATTTTCAAGGCTATTTGAAAAAGACAAAAAGTGATTGGACATTTGTGTTTTGAAACGTCAATAACTCATTGAACCCAACGTAGACGTTTTTGTTTGAGAATCCCTTTCTTTTCTTATTCGTTCTAAAACATTACTGGTGACCAAGGGAATGAGGGGAATAATGAATTCCTATTTATTTCTTAAAAATTTTATCATTTGCTAGTAATAATATTTTCCTATCATTCTTTCTTATTCCTTATTATATAAGGAATTATAGAACAAATGTATTCCTTATTAAAATTGAGGAGAAACAAAATATATTTATTTACTTCCTTATTTATTTTTCATTCCTATTCATTTTTTTTCTTTTGTTCCTTTCATTCTTTTCCTTTTCATTTCTATTCTTTTTTTATTGGTCATCAGTTAAAGCCTAAATTCTTCCACTAATTCCCAATGGGACAGTCGTCACTACAAGTTTTTTTATATAGTTTCAACTCAAAAACACCTAATTAAAATAAATATATTATATTTTTGAACTTGATAAATGCATTATTGGTCACTAAAAAGAAAGATGTCCACGATAAACGATCATCAATGAGATACCTTGTCCAAGACGAAGGATGGTGAGTGTTTAGTATCGGGCATGAAAGCACTCACGAAGACAGAGACAGAGATCTTGTTGGGAAACTTATCCATAGCTATGGCTAAGCTCAAGCCACCAAAGCTATGGCCAACGAGCACAACCTTCTCATCACTTGGTAATGAGGCCAGTAGCTGTATCAATGGCTCCGAGTATTGCTCACATGTGGAGATCTCAGTGATCGACCTGGTGTCTATCCCACAGGCTGCTAGGTTTACAGCGGTCACGTGGTAGCCTGCGGCCTCGAGCAGCGGTTTAACCTTGTACCAGCTCCACGCGCCGTGGCATGCACCATGTACTAGCACAAAGTGTTGTTTCCTCTTATTTTCGCTCATTCTTTCCAACTTTTGATATTTTCTTGTTTTCCTCACACCCACACCCACACACGCAAATATAAATACATAGATTTTTATAGGTAAATTGTTCGTGGAATAATTAAATAGAGGTCGCTCCGGCCGTATGGAGGATTATGATGATGATTGCTACTCACGATATGTTTATTTAACTTATCGTTTATCATCAATCAATAGAACGAATTATATATATATATATATTGGTTGATAGATATTCCGTCGCCGATCCAAACTATTCTATGTTAAAAACTAAATATATTTAAGTAAATTACTTTTTCTTAATATAGTTTAAACATAACAATAAAACTACATTTTATATTATTATAATTTATAGTAGACATATATATCGTATAAGAGATATACTGGAAAGTTATCTAATCAAATGCTTTGACTTCTTAGTTTTATATGTTAATCATTCTAGAGAAATTATAAGAAATGTACGTAATGGAAAGGTTGGGCAATATACATAGTAGATAGCAGCAAAAAAAAAAAAACAATTTGACAATATAACAGATAGTGACAAAAAAAAAATTGTTGGAGTGAAAGAACCAAATTATTGTTGAAAAATAGAAATATATAACTAAGTGGCGGTGATCTAATAGTTTTTATTTGAGGAGGAGTTGTTATGTTAGTCGAGGTCAGAGATTAATTCTCTTCAAATATAAAATTGTTAAATTAATCTCATTTGGCCACACGGATATCCGGAGAAAAACTCTATCTATGGACTACACCTCTCCCAAAATGATTAATCTAAGCTCTTTTATAGATCTGTGATGTACCCTGAATAATCCAAAAAAATAATAAAAAATAAAAATATATAAAAAACAAATCTGGGAACATCAAAATATATATATAAAAAGAAATTATTAACGATAATATCAAATATGTAAAGAGATCTGTAGAGCATTGCCTATACGCCTATATAAAGTTAGAATAAATATTTACAAAGATTTACAATCTTACATGCTATCAGAGCTACTTAGTTTGGAGAAATTTCCCAAACAAGAATAAAAATGTTATTAAGAAAATACTGAAAGTGCAAAATGTTTAACATAAGTTGGTCCTTGAACATTTGTGCCAACCCACTATTACTCCACAAAACTTTCAGAATCCAATATCTTTATGCATGTGCAATTTAGATACTTGTATTTCTAATAATAATTACTAGATCAAATTTGTGCGTAGCTTATTTTCATATCCTATTCTTGTTTTGTTTGTAACTTATTTTAGTATTAATATAATAAGATTGGCTCAATTATACAGACGAGCTAGTAATATAATACGAGCATAAAATTGAATGCAGCTGTAATTAAAACCTAAGAATTTATTGAGTTATCATTAGTTATCACCCAGCTAATTAATAGTCTTGGTCAGTAGTCTTCACCCAACTAATCAATAGACTTAGTTGTTAATCTTCACCCAACTAACCAATTAGCTGTTAATCTTAATCGTATATATTCATCTAATAATGCAGCAGTAATTATGTATAGATATCTTAATTCTTATTATATCTTAATCATGTTTTTCATTGCAGTCACGATGATGGCTTTGTAGATTCTAAATAACTTTGAGATAAGGTTTCAGGAATTTATATTATTATTAGTTAAAATTTAGAGATTTTTTTCATTATTATTATTTAAATTCTTATTATATGTTAATCATGTTTTTCATTGCAGTCACGATGATGGCTTTGTGGATTCTAAATAACTTTGAGATAAGGTTTTAGGAGATTATATTATTATTAGTTAAAATTTAGAGATTTTTTTTTCATTATTTTTATTCAACGATATTTTATAGATATTAAAAAAAAAAAACTCGATGATAAATTGGTTCGCACGATTCACACATAGTATTACGGACAAAAATTTAATGTGTATCCAAAAATTACGAAATAGATTTGTTTAGGTACGTACGTATCAATCGTTAATAATCAATACAATAATAACACTCAAACCTCTCCATAAGTTGACACATCATATTTTTTAATTTTTGAAAAGCTTACATCTCAGCAATTTTACAAATCAATCAAATTAAAACATTAATACAACTCATCTATTTATTTTAATTTTTAAATTTAAACCTATTAAAAAATCCAAATACATTTTTTGTTAATAATTTGTTTTATTTTTTAACAAATCAAAGCCCAAATAATAAATAATAACAAATAAAAAAAATCTTTGTTGTATTGTTTGCCAAATCCAAGCCCAAATAATAAATAACAGCAAAAAAAAAATCTTTGCTTTATTTTTTGCCAAATTCAAACCCAAATAATAATTAAAAGCAAATAAATAATTTTTTTTAGCTATTTGTTTGTTCGACAGAGACGTACATGATTGAAAAAGTGTAGGCTCATCATCAACTATGTTTCCATAACAACAACGCAAAAAGCCTTATGTTATAAGAAGCTCACACATCAGCAAAAAAGTGAACCAATAAAAATATAAAAATAATACATACTCCGTTAACACACTAATAAAATCAGTTTACTATTTTGCAGACCCACTAAAAGGCCCAAAAATTTACAAAAAAATGGAAGTTGAAAGCAAATGAGGAGAAGCTCAGACCACCATAACTTGGAGATTCGCATTTTCAGTGGTTACTCAGAACAAATTTTCATGGGTTTAGCGGGAATAGAGAATTTTTTGGTTTCGGTAGGAAAATGTGATTTTCAGTTTTGCTAGGAAACATAATTTCTTGGTTATGGCGAAAAAAATGAATTATCGGGTTTGGCGGAAAAATGTGAATTATTTGGTTTTGGTGAGAAAACAAAAAAATTGAATTTGACACAAAAACAAAATATCTTAGTTTTGGCGAGAAAATGCGAGGGAAATGCAACTTTTCAATTGACAAAAAATACGATTTCTTGGTTTTGATAGGAAATGCAAATTTTCGGCTTTTGATGCATAATATGATTTCTTGACTTTTGCTGGAAAATGTGATTTTTTAGTTTTCGTGGGAAATTGTAATCTGACGATTTTTGCGGAAAATGCAATTTCTCAGTTTGATGGGAAAACAAAATTTCTCGATTTTGGAAGGAATAAGCAATTTCTCGGTTTTGATGAAAAATGCAAATTTTTAGTTTTTGACATATAATGTGATTTTTTTTTCAAGGTAAAATGCGATTTCTTAGTTTTCGCAGAAAACACAATTTTTCAGGAGATAATACAAATTTTGGTTTTCGCGGGAAATTGTAGTTTATCAGTTTTGGTAGAAAGGCTTGATTTTTTGTTTGATGATTTTTTTTTAGGAATTGACGATTTTTCGGTTTTCATGGGAAAATGAATTTTTTGGTCTTGGTGAAAAAACTTGATTTCTCTGTTTTGACGAGAAAACACAGGTTCTCGTAGAAAAATGTGATTTTTTGGTTTTTGCGGGAAAATACAATTTCTCTGTTTTGGTGTGAAAATGAAATTTCAGGTTTGACGAGAAAATGAATGTTATGGTTTTGGCGGGAATAGGTGAAATAATTTTTTTTTTGTTTTGTCGAAAAGTGTGATTTTTCAGTTTTTTTTAAAAATGACAATTTGTTTTATATAATTTCAAAAGAGGATCAAGTGGCAATTTAGTAGAGGTAACAAATTAAATTTGCCATTATCATAAAGGTACTTAAAAATATATTGTTTTATTCTTACATATACATTTATAGATAGTTAGCTAAACAAATTTGATAGTAGATTATAATTTTAAAAAATAAAAAAATTTAAAGATATATAATATTTATTCAGATTTAAAACATTTAAATACATAACTTAAGCTAATAAAAAATAAATATAATACTCATTTACATTATAAAAATAATTATGTTATATTAAAAATATATACAAAATCTAGAAATATATCCCGTGTAGCGCAGATATATACCTAGTATTTATAAAAAGTTAAAAACTGAAACATGTTTTCCATACTATAGTAGTATACTTGGTGTAGTTTAGAACATGTCACTACAGTTCAAAAAGCAAAGCTTGTTTAAACGCGAGCCGTCCGCATTGGCAGGCCTTGATGCCACCAAAATTTGGTTAGTAAAAATATGAAAAGTTCATCTCAGAAAGAAGAATTTTAATCCGTTTCAAAAAAAAGAAAAAAAAAAAATCTTAAATCCAAACAAAGTCGAGGAGGGACCTACCTTTGATAGGTGACTCAACGATACAAATAGACATGTGATTTATATATAGCCGACGGTATTTTGAATTATTAAGGTAAGGATAGGATCGCCAGATCTGGTTCTATTCGTTTGCTGTTTGGTTTATTTTAGGCTTTGCAACAAGATGTCTCTCTCATTCAATCGAAAACGTTTGATTTGACTTATAAAGTTTGCTTCAATTTTATTCTTTTTCAAGCTTTTAAGTATCATTCTTTTAATGTTACATCATTGATTTTAATTCTTTTCAAAATTTAGTCTCGATCTATTATCGTTTGTAAATTGTCCCAAGTGACTTCAATTCAATTTTTTACTTCCAACTATTTTTGGACGCGGCAACCATCTACACAATTTACGTTTTCGTCAATGTTAAAATTGGCTAATTTTACATAGTTCCAGTGAAATGTGACTAAATGATATAGTTAGTGTATGAATATACACAGCTCTAGAGTTTAGATAAGTCTTGTAAACTAAATCCATAGTTTGGCCTACATGGTTGTGGTCTAATGGTTGGTGAGGGTTGGGAATGTGCTACAACATTCTTCGTAGAGTTCAACCATTCCTAGAAACAAAAATCGTATTTATGTGGGAAGTTTGAGTTTGGGTTTTGATCCATATAATTTATAATAATAGCTGATTTAAAAATTAGTCGGAAAATATTTCAAACTCGGAATAAACAATGTAATAACCCTTCAAAAAGAAATCTACATCATAACATTTTGGTGTGTTCTTAGCAAAGCTGACCGGAATAATCGATTAAAATATATATATATATATATAAATAATATAGTTTGTGTAAAAGGTTATGCACCGCTTTCTCTAAAGGAAAAATACAAAACTACATATTTTGTGTTAAATTCGTTTAGATTCTTAATTTGATTTAAATTTGTTACACTTCTCTAACAATGTAAACCCTAATCCCATTATAGTCAAAAATTGATCGCCCCGCCAAGTCAAGAATCGTGATGCTCCATGAAGAGGAATATCATATATCCAATGTGGCTGCTCAAATAATACTAACAGATTAAAATGTGATCTTTCAACGCCAATAAAGACATGTTTCGTAAAATGGAGCCCACGTACAGCTAATTTGTTAATAAAAATCGTCATCCATTTTGTCTCGAAAAAGTATGTATAGACAAAAATATTCTTGTTGTTTTGATTGCAAATCGTCGAAAAAAGTTAACTTTTCTTTTTGATTGTGTTGGAAGTCGTATCATTAATATATATGAGTGTCTGATTTGAAACCCATCACTGAACGTTACATAAGAGTGTCTGTATGCTAAACGTCACACACACCCTCGTGGCCTATTTCATAACAACCTCAGATATATAAGAAGAAAAAACAAAACAATGACGAAAAATATTATTAGTAAATTTAATCTAACGGGGACGTTTGGCTTTTCCACAGAAGAGAGCATTAACAGGAGGCTCGGCTTCGGTGTAAAGAGACTTTTCGTTGTTCCAGACACGAACATAGAGCTCTTGTCCTAAGTATCTCCTTGACCATATTTGTGACCTCACATTCCACATTCCTTTATTGTCTAGTGATGCCAATACGCTCGTCCACGACATTGGATACACCTATACACAGATGGCCAACAAGCTATTTGGGTGGGATCGTTTTGGGCTTTAGCCCAATTTTGTTGTGCTTAAAGATATATAAAACAATTCAGTTTTGGTTTTAGATTTTACCTGAAATGTATGCCTTGAAACAGCATCAACCAAATTGTAACGTCTCCTCATGGCCATGTTCCATGTGCCAGACCCGTATCTGATTATATGTCAAAACTTCATCAATGAATCAAACGAAATATTTGAATCTTGATCCGATCGATCAACAGATAGCAATAGATGAAAGAACTAGTAGGGCTTATTACCCAACAACATAGGCGTTAGTGCCGTCAATGTGCCAAGACTGGATAGATCTCTCGTTGTTCTGAAACACAAACTCAACGTACTCATGAAGAGCGACATCAAAGACCGACGTTCCGAAGATGGATGGTCCAGGTGTTGGAATGTTCTTAATGGTTCTGAAATTGAACACTCCGGGAATGTTGTACCAGTCGGCTAATTTCAACGGAGTTGTTGGGTTAACGTACGACACACGGTTCACTGTGTACCGGAGTTTCTTGTTGATCCTCGTTCTCCCGTTGGCTAGAACCAGAGTTCGGTTTATCGGTATGGTACCATAGTGAAACGATCCTTGTGGGTTAGGCCTTGCTGCATTTGCCGTCAAATTTAACCTAAGTTTACCTTTCAAATTAGGTGTTGGCATACAAGAACCGAACATAACTTGAACCAAGATTTTAAATCAAGACTAAAGTGGATTCGGTAACAATAGTAAAACATGAAAAAAAACATACCGAAATTGCTTGGTTTAGTTCAATGTGATCTTTTAGTATAAATTACCTGATGGTTCTTGCTTGTTTCATGGACCAATGTATATGGTAAGTAGGACCAATGGGGAGGGGACGAGATGGTCTAATTTTGGAGCCTTGATAACGGAGGATTGATGTAGTGGTCAGCACCGGTTTGGTAAACCGGGTTGAAGCCACGATGAAGTAGTCCTTCACTGGAGCCTTCAATGTGACAAGAACGGTCACGGACTGACCAACGTGTACGTCAAGCGACTCATAGACCTCTTGCAGAGTGTGAGAGCCTTCTACTTCAACGAGGGTCATCATGTGTCCTTGTATCCTAAAGTTAATTGATGTCGATATCCCGACATTTGATATCCGAAACCTGTAGATCTTGCCTTTAGAAAAGCAAGATTAACATAACATCAATAGAGAGATCAAAGACTTGAGTGTTATATTTGAGGGGAAAGACTGGGATCTTACCATGTTGACCGGTAAAGACTAAACCTTTAGAAGCACCGTTGATGAGAAGACCATCAGGAAGAGGAAGAGCACGACCCGAGTCGAGCCTCTTTCGCAGTTGCTGTCAAAAACAATAGCAAGAGGCACAAGTTAACTCGGTTATTAGGGGTTTTTGGTTGTTTGAGGAACAAGTTAACTCGGTTATTAGGGTTTTTAGGTTACCTTATGGCTCATCTTGTACCAATCACTGACGAGGAGGGTGAAGTCACCGTCTGGTTTAGGATAAGGAACGAATATGACTGATCTCTGGTGAACGTTGAGTGCACCAAAAGCACCACTTGCTCTGTGCATCGACGTGGAAGCAAAGTAAGTATAAGTACCTATTTGGTCCTTAAGTTGAAAATGGTAAGTCCAATTCGAGTTTGGTTGGATCGGACAGTTTGTTCCTAAAACTCCGTCTTGCCACGACATTCTCCTCTGCTTAATTCCGTTCCTACACATTTTTCTAAAGCATCAAGTTTTGTACTAACCGAATTGAAAAATCGACTATGTATGTGATTTTGTAAGTTTCTTTACTCAATTGTAAAAAAAAAAAAAAAAATCGATAATCACGATTTATATTCAATGGTTTCTTACATTACAAATGTAATGACAAAAAGCTACTATTCAATTTAGAAAAAAAAACATTTTCGTTTATAATTCTGCAATTCTATTCCGCAACTTTTTTTTATTTTTCTCTCTCAATAATGCATATGCAGATTTCAATTTTCGTGAAGATGCAGTGACAAGAGACTAGTAAACATTACTAGATGACATGATGGTCATCTCGCAACACTGTTTCATTTCCAAAATATGAATTTTATTACCCTATTTATATTTGTATTTATATGTGTGAATTTTATGTACCATGTGATGAGGAAAGGTTCGTCAAGCTTGTTAATGACATTAACAACGATGTTATTGTTTGTTACACCTTCAATTGGAGGACCAGGGAACTGGCCATTAATAAGAATAACCTGAAAAACAATATCAATACATAATATTGTAATAGTTAGTGTTAATTTAAACAAAACCAAAAAGATGAAAGAGAAAAAGTCATGACAAAACAATGTATCTAAACCTGCTGAGGAACATCTAAAGGAGATCTGGTTCCATAAGTAACAGTCCAAGTGAAGAAAAGATAAGGGTCCTCTGCGTTTATCACAAAAACATAGCTAAAACAATAAGCCCATAAGAACCCTAGAAGCAGGAGATTTGTCTGCTTCATTTTCTGAACAGTTAAAGTGTTTTTGAGACCTAGGAGAGAGTTTCAAAGTCTTATTTAGATTTCACCAGACGTTAATCTTAAATACAAGTGACTAAGTGAGTAATGGGATCGAGGGAAGTGAGGAAGTAAGTTCATATATCGCCAGAGTGGATGTGAATCCCCATGCATGCATATGTAACAAAAGGTACCAATGGTCTTTTGCGCCGTACTTCATGCAATTTGCCGCAAACATTATTTTTAAAAAAAAATATTTTCTAATTGATTTTTATTTGATTTATGAAAATATAACCTGATGAAGTAAAAACCGAGTTTTTATTATTAGGCAAAGTACTTACTACTTACATAACATTTTCATATATTTGCTGCTAATGTAAAAACAAAAACTCTAAATATGTTATGTGGTGTCGTCGATTAGCTTTTTGCATAACTGTCACGAGACACTCAATAATTGGCATCAGTCATCATTCATTACTTTTGGTTTGAGGAAATAAAACGAAGGTGGAAGAATACGTCAACCCGCGTGGTAACTTACATATTGGTGAGGCCATCCCTAAAGGAGATCACATAGGGAATCCAAATTTATTTTAATTAATCACACATGGATGCGTCACCAATAAGCTCGGTTTTTCCATGTTGCTCTCCTTAAAATAAATTCATTGATTTACTATTTAATGCTAGAAAAATGTTCTAGAGCAAAATTCGATCCTATAAGGCCTCCTAGGGCAGCCAAATTCTATAATCTCATTGTCTTATTATAATTTAGAAGTTTATTTCATTTCGTTTTTAGTCATAAATTCTTAGATCAAAAAAAAAAAAAAATTCTTAGATCCTATTAGAAAATTTATATATTTACTTATATATTTTTCATTGAAATCTATTTGAATTTGCTTCCGAAATTCTGAATCAAAACCATCTGAATTAGATTTGCATATATATGTGCCAAGTGAATGAAGTCTAAACTCTCCTTTACTTCCTTATCACGTCCAATATAGATGACATAGTTTCCATACAAAGCAACACATAGCAACCATGCATGACATCCACGTCACCACAAACACACCACGACGTGTTACATCATTACATCAAGAAGATAAGAACTAATGAAGAACAAACTCTTTGTCTCGCGCACAATTCTTTTCCAATCCTATTAATTTTAAATATATACACCATAAGCTATAATTTTCTTGTTTTAATTTCCAGCACCAGCTTACCATAACAGCCATGGCCAACGATGTGACCAAAGATCCAACACCAAAATCTGGTAAGAAACATAATATGCAAAAATATAATCAGAACCCTTCACTAATTAGATTTAATTCGATTTTTCTTCCTTTTCATGTTTCATGAATTACATAGAAGATATCGTGGAGGATATTTACTTATGGAGGAGGAAGAAACTGGCTTTTTCTATACTCTCTATCTCAACAGCAACATGGGTTTTGCTCAATATATATGGTTTCAACTCTATAACCATTCTTTCCTGGACATCCATCGCCATCGTCTCTATGGTCTTCCTCTGGGGAAGTTTACTTCGACTTCTCAGCAAGTAATTAATTTTTTTCTTCTCAAAACTATTTAATGATCTCGTTTATTTATTTATTTTTTATTCAAAACAGATTTGATCATGCTCTAATTCATATAATACATATTCAACAAAAATAAGCTGTTTTTATTAAGTGATCGATGTTAAATTGGTGTTTTTTTGCGTTCCTTAATCTTCGGACAGGGTTGAACCGGAACTGTCAGGGTTAGAAGTGTCGGAGGAGTTCGTAACGGAGACGGTGAGATCATGTCGGAAGTTAATGGAAAGAATGGTTAGGTGGATGTTCCGAGTCGGTGCCGAGAGTGAATGGTTTGTTTTCGCAAGAACTGTTTTGGGTTTTTGGGTCTTGTCAAGAATTGGTAACCTTCTCGATTTTCAGACCTGTCTCTTCATCGGTACGTAACTAAATTTGGTAGTACTCTCATGGATTTTTAGGGTTTATTTAACTGATTCTTATCAAGTAGATGTAACTTGGGTACCTTAATTTTATGGCTCCTTTAGGTTTGGTGTTAGGCTTAACATTTCCGAAGTTGTGGGAGAAGAATGGAGATCGAATACAGAAGCTATTGGCAAATTTTAAAGAGAGATCGCAGGGAGCTTATGATAAAACTAATGCGAAGATCTTGATGATGAAGAACAAGTTACAACATGGTACTGAGGAGAAAGTGAAAAAAACAGAGTAGATATTTATTTTTTTACCTGTCTTTTAATCTGTAAAAGTAGATGTGTTTGCATGTAAACAAATTTGAGTACATTACTTGTCTTTCTACTGTTTCCGCCAATGTAAAAATGTGATGTCAAGAACAAGATAATCTGAGATGATATTTACCGATCTTTAAGCGTGTTGATGGGCCGAGACTGCTCTATGTAAAACAAATTGCATGTTAATCGGCTGAGCCCAGCCCAAAGAAAAAATATTGTAAATAGATACGGAAGCCACTCTGTATCAGAGCCAGGTTTCGATCCTGGGACCTGTGGGTTATGGGCCCACCACGCTTCCGCTGCGCCACTCTGATTTGTTGTTAGTTGTATAACCATTAATATATTTATATTTTAACAGAAAATACTCATTCTGGATATAGCCTTACATACCTGCTTTTACTCGTCTTAACTCTCATAATCGAAATTTCGATTCGATACTAACGTTTTCAAGAGAGCCGAGGGAATGATTAATGGTGGAAAAAATTGGAAATTTGATAAGTTTGAATCATTCTTGGATCAAATTTGGTGTAGAGGTAAATATGCAAATTAAGCTTTAGAATGCTGAAATTTGTAAATGCGAATTATTATTGAGAATGAATAATGCCATTTATTAAAAAGAAACTCAAATCGCTAAGACTCGAGAGTAAACTATCCAACAAATGAAAATGTCTTTTTTTCTTTTCTTAATGCAATTGTTCTTAATTAATAACTAGCTTCCTTGTTTTCAGACTTCCTCCATTTAACCGGAGGCTCAAGCTCTTCCTCCTCCTCTTCTTCATGGAGATTCTCTTGTCCCATTTGCTGCATCAGAAACTGTCCTTCACTTTGCTCTTGACCTTCCTGTAATGGAGGCTGAAGCATGAGCTGTGTCTGAAGCTGATCATGGTTGATATGATGCTGCTCTGTCTCTTGACCCATTTGATAAGCCTCACCAAAGTTTCCTAAAGCAAGAGATGGTCCAGACAACGACCCACTAGCACCGTGATCATTCACATCCATCTGGTTATAACCTGTGGCAGTAACTGAAACATTGTTGTCTATTCCATAACCATTGAACATCCCTTGTTGATCTCCTCTGTCCAAAATCATTGCAGCCATTCTCTGTGCATCAGCAGCACTGAGCTGCAACTGCTCATCTTGCGGTTGGTGTTGATGTTGATGTTGATGATGAGACATGTTGATCAACGGATCTCCTTGAGGGATCACTCCATGTGGCATTCCTTCCATAGCCATCATGAAATTTGGTGGAGGATTGTTGCCTAGAGGAGGAAGATAAGGCTGTTGCGGAATCGCAGCATCTGGTCCTATGTAACCAGCAAGCTCTTCTTTAGCAGTGACAAGATCTTGTTGAATTTTCTTGAGACATTGCTGCAAGAAAGAGATGAGACCAACGCATCCATAGATTGGGTCACGGATACGTGCCTCAGCTTCATAGTAGAGGGAATTAACTGCGTCTTCGCGGTTGATAGGTGAGAGATCGTTGAGGATCTTGGTTACATTGCTTGCTCCAAAGACTCTGTGGACATAGATAAACTTTTGAGGCTGAGTTGGTGGAAAATAGGGCGCAAAGACGCATTCTTGAGTGCATTTTCTTCTCAGGAGCTTGCAAGCTGCACAAGGTGTTGAAGCCATTCTCTCTCGAGATCAACACTGTCCAAAATGAAAATGGTATTGAGACATAATCAAATTTACACACTGTCAGAACAAGGAAAATAGTATACAAGACTATCAAATTTACACGAATCTTGTACCACAAGAAACAAAGAGCATGGTTTCTTAGAATACAAGAAATCTAAAGTTTACGGCATTTAGTATCATCCTTTGAATTTAACAGATCAGATCAACTTTCACCATGCAAGAAAATCATAACCATGAGCATTAATTTTTTTTTTTCATCAGAACGGAGAAACTATATTTATTTTAAGCCAAACCAATCTCATTAACAAAAAAATAAATGTTTGTTTGAAAAACAATAAATTAAGAAATGATCAAATCAAATTAAAATCAAGAAATCGTACCCCGATCGTTCGAGACCACCGATCTCTTTGCCCGTTGAATCTTCGATGATGGTACCTGAAATTATTAGAAGAAAAAAAAATTGAAATCTGAAAGAAAACCCAAAATAAAATAAGTTACTGGATTTTGGGAGTGAGAAAATGGAGGAGAAGGAAAAAAAAAAGACAGAGATTTTCCCAGTACAGTGCCTGAGGAACCGTGCGAATTGATAGAAACTGAGGAACAAATGACGGAGATGTTTCTGAGAAATTTTTAAGGAAGAAATAAAAAAAATGAGATTTAGAAACCTTAAACAGAAACAAGAAGAGAGAGAGATGGATGCATCGTGCCATAACCATATACGCACGTATGGTGAAATCTTGAATCTTAACCGTTCATGCAAAATATTTTTCTTCTTCTGTTACATAGATAAGTGTTTTTTTGATAAATGACTGATTCAAACTTGATAAGAAAAGGAAAACAAATATAATTACATTGAGAAAAGTGATATATTTTTGGATATTACTGACTGATTATATCATTCTTAAAATAGACTTGGATTTCATTTGAACGGGTTACAAATATAACAAGTAGTATTTAAAATAGATTTTTTTAGTATTTTACATTTACTGTTAACATAAATAATGAGAAAATAGTATTTAAAGTGAATGGAATTAGTATTAGGAACCACACAAAATAAATTAAGTGAACGTTTACTTTTTAACGTCTCGAAAATACTAGCTTCATTAATTTGAATTTCATACAATGTGCACGTTTAACTGATAATAATAACAGAATTAGATTATGATTTGAATTTAACTTGGGCGCGGATCATCATCACTAATATATAATAAAATCGGAAACTAAAAAGAAAAATCTTCACAAGTATATTACATGAACTAACTGTTGCAAAAAAATAATGAGAAAATAGCACTTAAAATGTAATAAGTTCAAAAAAAAAAACAGTAAACGTCGTTTTTAACATTTGATATGTGGAAATTTATTTACCAACATTACTCTCCGATTTTTCTTTCCCTTTCAACGTATCTTTGTCTCAACACTACAGAAAACGAAAAAGCTAGGCATTTTCAGCAATCATATGCGAGACCTGAACTTCAAAGACAACTATGATCATGACAATGATAATGAGTCATAAAAGGTCTTATTGATCAACTTGTGAGAGGCAAGAAGGTCTTTGTCTTCAATATACCTATCCTAGGATCAATTCGATGAAATTTTTGTAGCCTTCCTAATAAGGATATCATCAGTATTTTTAGCTGTTAAATTTTTTTTCGTCTGAATTATTATGAAAACAATTACAAAATTACAAAGATAATTTATCTATTCTACCAAATTTTACAATAGATATGTAGACTTACCACAAATAGTTATATTTTCACTATTCTGAAAATTTTCTTTATTTGTTTTGTCTTCCTCCAATAATTTGCAGAAATCGCATTTCGTGAGAGCTAAAACGTATAGAGAAATATTAATGAATCAATTAGTCTACTAAGGTGTTTCTACGTTAATATTTTAATTAGTAGTTTAGTACATAATTTTTAACTAGGTATCTCGTCCGCGCCATGCGCGGACCGAACTGCATAGTAAATAATTGTTTTGAATAATATTATACTTATTTAATAAATATAAAATAAAATTTATTAGTACATCCAAAAACATTAATACATACGTCTAAATATCAAACATGCTTACATTAATATGAAATATATGTAACTGCAGAGTCAATGCTGGTTCTTATTATTTGATTTTACGGATTTAAATAATTTTCTGACTTCTCATAATCAGAAAGATTAATGGCTTCATGATGGTTCCATATAAATTACCATGAATAGAAGTAAACTCAAGAAATTTCCTGCCAAGGGATTTCCACATTCAATTATTAACAAATTTTGGGGTATATCTATCTCAACCTCCATGGTATTGGACTCATTGATCTTTCTGTTATATATATATATATATATATCGATATCGCATATATATATAAATTTAATATTTATATCTATTATGTTCTTTCTAACTTAAACAATAATAAACTAAAAAAACAGCATAAAATACAATATTTTAATAATTGATATTTAGTTTTTTAAAAATACTTAGCTTTTCAGTCTCTCTCATGTTCATCGCATAGCGATTGTATACTATTCTTACATTATTTGCCTTTTACAAATCAGGATCAAGTATAAAGCTTGAAATTATACAAACATAAAGCTTGAAATTATACAAACATAATCTGCAATATGATATTCACCTACTCAAATATTTTTTGAAAACAATTTATTGCCTATTCTCTAAGAAACTAAACAGAATATGCATGAAAAAATGAAACTAACCTCTAATGACACACCAGTCATTCAAAACACTCAAAACCAATTCATTGCCATGACAATACTACATGTCACTGGACTTAACAGCCAAATTTTCGTGAGCAACACGTTGAAACTCATGATAACAATAATATTAAGACGTTATGTTTCTCAAAATTTCAACAAATAACTTTCGACTATTATTTTTTTAAACAGAAACAATAAGTTTTTAATGCAATGTGCAAACCCTAAACATCAAACCCTCCCTGTTCCTAAATTTTTTAACAAAAACAATCAATTTTATGAGATCCACATTGAAAATCATGATAACTATAAAAATATTAGAACGATATGTTTACCAAAATTTCATCAAATAGCTTTCTACTCTTAAATTTTTTTAACAAAAATAATAGGTTTATAATGTGATGTGCAAACCCTAAATCCTCCCATTCCCTTTCCTCTCCTCCTCCCTCGCTCGCCCATCCTAGCACTTGTCTTCTTAATTTTCTTTAACTTCTTATTCTTCAGTTTTATTCATCTCATCTTATCTCATTTCCGTCCTCCCTAACATTTACACATGATCTTTAACTTTTTTTTTGAAAGAGATCCTATCTCTTTTTTTTTGTTCTCTTTATCTCTCTTTGTATCCTTTTCCCTATCCCTCTTTCTCTCATTATCTCTCTCTATCCCACTTTCTCATGTTCTTCTCCTTCTTCTTCTTGGTCATCGTCATTCATCTTCTTAGTTTTCTTCTGATTTTTATTACTCTTTGTCTACATCATCTTTTTCATTTTTTGGTATTTTTCCTTTTTTGTTCATCATCTTCTTCGACTCATTATTCTTACTGTTTTTCTTTGTCTAATCTTTGTCTTGTTCTTTTTCTTAGCCTTCTTCCATTTTGTCCTCTTCATCCTTGTTTTTCTTTCTTTCTGATTTTTTTTTTCAATTTCTTCATCATCTTCTCCTTCTCCTTATTTTTCTTCTTCAACGTCTTTGGCTTATCCACCTTCTTCTTCTGATTTTTCTTTTTTCTTCTTTCATTCTTTCGTCTTCCTTATTCTTCTTCGTCATCCATCCTTTTTCCAGCATCTTATGCTTTCGTTTTTTTTAATCTCGTCTTCTTCTTCTTACTCATATTTTCCTTCTTTTGTTTCTTCTTAATTTTTCTCGTATTTTCATTCTTCTTCTTCAGCTTTCTTTCATTTTTATTCACGTTCTTCTTCGAATTTTTTTTCTCCCTATTTTTTTTACTTCTTCTTCTTAATCATCCTCGTCTTTTTATTTTTCTAGGTTTAATTTGTCTCATTCCTAATCTTCAGTTTCTTCTACTTTGTCATCTCATATATATTATTATTAGTCTTATTCTTCTTATACTTAGTCTTCTTCTTCTCTTGATTTTTGCTTCCCTATCTTCCAGTTTTATTTCTTCTTTTCAGATTTTTGTCATCTTTTTTTCCGCTTACCTCTTCATCGCCTTTTGTCCATCTTCTGCTTTATTCTCCTTTGTCTTCCTCTTTTCCAATGTTTTCCTTTTTTGCCTTCATCTTCTTCTTTAAATTTTATTTATTTTTCCACATCTTTTAATAATTCTTTTTAATCATCCTAATCTCCTCTAAGTTCTTCTTATTCTTTGATTTCCAATTTCTCTTCTTCTTCTCTTTCTATTTCTTTATTATTTTCATTTTCGCCAATATCTTACTCTTTGTTTTCATCTTATTCATGACCAATTTTATTTTTCTTCCTCTTTTCCGTTCTTTCTTCTTCTTCTCCAATTTTCTCATATTCTTCTCTTTCTTCTTCATGGTCTTTGTCATTCGTCTTCTTAGAGCAAACTCAATAGAGACACTACTAGTGTGGATCTTATTGATTAATTATTAATATTTTATATTTTATGTATATAAGATACTTTGTAGTATTTTGTTGTTTAAAAGCATATAATAGAGATACTTTTGATGGGTGTCTTAAAAACAAAAACAAATATAATACATTTTCAAAAAGTAATACATGAAAATATATAAATTATAGAAGTGCAATTCAGAGAATCATCAGAACTATGAGAACTCTCATCACCAGAACCTTCATCACTGGCAACTTCTTCATCAAGATCCTCTAAATCCTCATCGTCGTCTTCATCTCCACACTCATCCTCATCACACACAAAATCACAATCCATATCATCATCATAATCATCAGACGACTCACCATCATGACCACCATCAAGGTCGCTATCTTCATCATCAGCTTGAACGATCCACTCCCCGATGGGCAGCACATAACAATATACTTTCTCAATCTCAAACGAATAAAGAGAATGACCAGAACAATATGTACGTAAATAGTCGAAAAATACAAATCAAAACATAAAAAAACACCAATAGATATATAAGATTCGATACACCCATACAATTTCCACAACACATACAAACCTACAAGTTCGTCGAAAAATACACCCACTAACTGTTTTTAAAACCCATGGAACAAATCGATACCGCTCTTAAAAATTTATATTATAAATTGTATAGTATTATTAACATTCCACTCAAACCCAATCTGTATATAAAACAGAAAACACTCAATGCACAAACACGACAACAAAACCAGACAATCTATACTCTAGAACAAAATTAACATACATATTGAAACAATAAACAAATGTATATATCTTGACTATCGCAAAAGACATATGCCACATTAAAAGCCGATCCTCCAATATTAGAACTAATAAGTAAATAAAGTTTGAGAACCATATTCCTAAATAATCAAACGCTCAAACGTGCATACAATATACATCAAGTGAAAAAGGATATTTATAATTAATATAGGTTAGGGCTTTGTTATTTTTTTTTTCTAACAAACGATAAACACACAAGAAATCCCACATTTGCCATTTTTCTGGGAATATCAGTAATATGGAAGATTTATGTATATCAATATACAGTTTAGATGTACAAATATATAGATATATAGAAATCTCTTATTTCCCATCTAGATATGTACAAATATATATTGATATATAGAAATCTCCCATTTTCAGTTATAGAAAACAAGAAATTTATTTTTTCATAATTACCAACGATATTATTTTAAGTTATTTTAAAGTAAATATATTATAAAATATTAATCAAGATTATATCCATATCTAAACCAGAAATTTTTCTGAAAACCATAGATACGATAGAATAAACAAAATCTCAAAATAAATCGATGTACAAGGATAGTAAAATTTTAAATATAGACCTTAAATACGAAAATTAATATTCAGATAATTTAATACTCAATTAATGGAATTTTTTGTCAACCAATTCTACCATAAATACATAATTAATACCATAATTTGTTGATTCACACTAAACAATAAATATATTAATTATATATACAGATTATGGTTTAAATCCGATTATTATAGTTATAAAACCAGGAGTTTGTGAGACCTAGCCAAAATCAAATTAAATATATAAAAGCAATGAAATTCATTCAAAAAGATGCAATAATTCACACTTGGCATAGGAGCAAGACCGTCTATTTTCTTAACAATACTTGTGTTAAGAGATGAATCCGAGGAAAAAAATTTAAAACATCAATGACACGTAAAAACATGAAAAAAAAACAAATTTTACATATGCAAATCAATGACATGCAAAAGCAAATACAATCTAAAGAACTAAAAAAATTAAATCACCTATCTTTTTTTGTTATTGTTCAGTTATTTCCAACCACTTTGACTACACAAATAATTAAACAAAAAGCTAAATAAATACAAAATAATGGTAATTACCTCTGTAGGTTAAATTAAAAGTTTTTATATATTAAATCGGTTTTCTTTTAATAATAAATTAACTTACTCCAAACTAAAAAAGAAGTTTTTATCTATTTAATTTGTAACAGATAAACAAAAATATATAAATTATTTTCTATTATATTTTTACATCCTAACTATTATATCTTTATAAATGTATCTTATGAATATAAATTATTTTGAAATCCAAATAATAACCATCCACATAATTATTTTACTCCGGTCACTAAGACTTTCTTGCTAAAGAATTCAGTTACATAATACTTATCCAAATCTAAAAATTCAAAAAGTTGAGTGTATCAAAGATGTTCGGAAAATTACTTTACTTTATATTCATTTGTTCCACACTTATAATAATTCTTAAGTCTACATCTACAATCAGAACCAATCGATTATTTAGTTACATGGCTAATTATACCTCTACGTATTGCCTGAATGTCTCAATGGCTTCAATGCCTTTTGCTTTGGCATCTCTTGGCTTTGACAAAATATTCATCCGCAGCTCAACCGCTTCTAACGGCTCCTCAAGATCTTCGATCAAACCACCGATACCTTCTTTAGATCCCGCGAGTCTCATTCTCACCATTTCGATTATGATCTTCACCACCATGTATGCACCTATAATGTATAAGGGAAAAAACAAACATAACACACTGCTCATGAACATGTACCATTCATTAACCGGATTAATTAAAGAGAAGCAATATCAACTAACCATCATCCAAGAAGTGATTCTCTTTAACAGCACCATGACCTGAAGTTTCCACCATGAGATGACTCTCGATGCCGTCTCTGTTCAGCTCTACTCCCTTGTCTATCACGTTTCTATACCCTACTCTGTACAAACAATGCCTCCCTCCTCTCTCCATTATAAACCTTGTTAGCCCCATACTCGTTCTTGCGTCCGTCACAATTGTACTTCCTATATCCATACTTTAAAAACAGTATTACACATTAACTAATTAACAGATAACATCAGCAGCCCCGGCCCAATGATATTGGGAGCCCTAGGGCAAATCGCTGACATAAGCGCAATGAGCTTATCTCCGTTTATAGGGTTTCCTCTGCTATCGACCACTCCGCTCCTGTCAACATCCGTGTCAAACACGACACGAAGATCCGCTGAGTTCTCAAGAACCGCGGCTCGGGTGCGTGACATTGCGGTTTTGTCTTCCGGATTAGGGATGTGGTTCGGGAACATCCCCTCCGGGTTGAGATATAGCGAACCGAACGTATCGGCTCCTAACTTGTCAAGAACGTCCCAAGTAAAGAACCCTCCTGACCCATTACCAGCATTCACTACTATCTAACCAGTACACCAACCACAAAAACCGCCAACATTTTGTATTGTAACACTCAAGACATAAAGGGATTATAAAGCTAGACTCTTGCCTGAAATCCTTTCAGAGGAGTGTCGTAATGCTCATGGTGATTGATTCTCTCTTTAAGGATATCCCTAAGGTGCTAGAGCAAGCGCTCATGAAATCGACTTGCTGTGGTCGAGTTCTTATCAATGTAGAGACTTTAGTCTGTCTGTTTGCGTACTTCCGTGCAGCTAAATCGCAAATCTTCTCCACTCCAGGAGACGCTAATCCTCCTCTCTTGGTAAAGAACTTGAGACCGTTTCTTGTGTACGGTAAATGAGACGCCGTCATCTTCAAAACCACAACAAACTAATCATGTCAGAATCATACATATCTCTTATTGTAAGGAAAAAAAAACAAAAAGAAGTCTTTGCTGTTACCATAATTGAAGCGTCGTATTCGAAAGGAGAGAGTAACGTGCTCATGAAGCAAGCAGGAGTAGTAGCTAAACCCATGTCAAAAGCTAAACAGCCTGCACGAGATAAACCGGCAAACACGGCCGTGTTCAGCTTCCCGCCGGAGACACGTGGGTCACGACCGAGAGAAACCCTAATGACGCCGTTTCCGTTACCCTCCGTCGCTGCAACCCATTCACCGAAGCTCTCTGCGATTGCTTCAACGGCTGCAGGCGTCAGAGTAACCGTCCAAAATTTTCCTAATCTTGGAACACCATTTCATCAAAATTCCCCTCTAAAATCTAGAACAAGGGAAACAGAAAGTGAAAAGCTTTAGTGATGATTGTTCATGGTTACCGCCAATTCGCAACGCATACTGGTCAGCAGGAATGCAGAGTACCTGCTCAGATACAACGAAGAGGAATCAAATCAATTAACCGTAGCTACACCAATCGAGACCATCAAGCATAAACAAGAGTGATTTCGACTGTGAACTCAATTCAAGCTCACAGAAATGCGAAGAAGACGAAAATGGGGGAAAAGAGAGTGAGGCGATTTACCCAGAAACGAAAACCCCAGTGCCGAATCGGAAAACAAACCGATGGCTGCACCCAAGACATCGAAGAGTTTTCCGGGTTTAACGGCGAAGCGTTTCGGGCTCGGGAGGCTTGAAACCGGGAGGAGCAGTGAACACAACTGCTCCGGTGTCGTCGCTGGATTTCGTGGACACTGAAACTGACTCGGAAGGTTCAGCGGAAGCTATACACCAAAAAATTGTTTGAAGAGCGAACAAAGAAAAGATTATAAAAACAATCAAAACAAAATATCACGACATATATCATTCAATCAAAAACAAACCGTACAAACTAACCTTTGTAATTGTCTCATTTTTTTCCTTATCTCGTCCGTGCCTACTATTCCATGTGCTGAAACATCTAGAACACGACGGTAGCCTACACAAAGATCAAAAACATATTAGAAAACAATAATCCAATCAAACAAACAAAAAAACTTGTCTAAAAACAATAGGGAGAGAGGCGAGAGGATACCATGATATGACTTCAATATATATAGCCTCATATAATAGGTTTTAGTATTAGGGTTTCTTTTTATATAAGCCCTGTTCTTTTTATCAAGAGCTGCGTCTGCGGCAGCGACCAAAAATCTAAGCTTCAGAAACTTTAAAATTAACACGTGGCAAATCGAAAGCTTCCCAGAAATCCAGAAAAGGAGACGCTGCGTCTGAAAATAGAGTTGTTGGTGACGCTTAGATTTTCCGGCGTCAAGTTGAATCAAGGCGCATGCCGTTGTCTGTTGCCGCTGCGTCTTCATCCATCACCACCGGCGTCATATTTGCTGGATTTCCTTTGTATTTTTCTTACTGCTGACGCTGACGCAGCGTTAAGAAAAAGAACAGAGCTATAAGCTTTCTATTAATTATCGCCGCAAAAATCTAATATATCTATCTATAATAACAAACTGAAAAAATGCCAAATGCACTTTGAAAAATTGTGTCTTTTTGAAATTTATAATAACAAACTGAAAAAATACCAAATGCATTTTGAAAAATTGTGTCTTTTTGAAATTTATGGTTGTGTCTTTTCATTACAAATAGTTGCATCTTTTCACTATGAATGGTTCCATTTTTTCATCAACTATAATTTGTGTCTTTTCAAAACTATTTATACTGCTCAAAACCACAAAAAAAATTATTTAGATCTAACTTTTATTTTCTTATTATTGTGAGTTTTTGTTGTCGTAAACTTATTTATTTATCATAACATATTATTAGGATACAAAGTGTTAAAAGTCTTGAAAGTTCAAATATTGAATTGAGTAAAAGATTCAATTTGGGGGTCCAATTTTAGCTAAATATGAGTAGTTTCATTACAAGATTGTTTTACATGCATTACATCAGAAAAATAAAATTTATTCCACCAAAATCTAATGATATTTTTATTATAAAGGAATTATATGTGTTTTGTTTACTAATATATATTATGTTATTTAGTTTTTCTTAACAATCCGAATAAATGCATTTACACTTTAAAAAATTGTGTCGTTTCAAAATTTGTGGTTGCGTTTTTTTATTATAAATGGTTGCATCTTTTTATTATAAATGGTTGTATTTTTTCATCACAACTGTTATTTGTGTCTTTTCAAAACTATTTATATTGCTCAAAACCACAGAATAAAAATTATTTGGGTTTAACTTTTACTTTTTTTTTACTATGGTGGGTTTTTTTTGTCGCAAACAATCCGAATAAATGCCACTTACACTTAAAAGTTGTGTCGTTTCAAAATTTGTGACTGTATCTTTTCATTATAAATAGTTTCATTTTTTATCACAACTGTAATTTGTGTTTTTTTTAAATTATTTATTGCTCAAAATCACAGAAAAAATTATTTGGATCTAACTTTTACTTTCTTACTATACTGGATTTTTTTGTCGTAAACTAATTTATTTATCATAACATATTATCATGATACAAAGTGTTTAAAATTCCTAGAGGTTCGGATATTGAATTTGAGTAAAACAATTCTATTTGAGAGTCCAATTTTGGCTAAAATATGATAAGTTTTATTACAAGAATGTTTTACATGCATTACATCAGAAAAAAAAATTTATTCAACCAAAATCTAATGATATTTTTATTATCAAGAAATTATGTGTTTTGTTTACTAATATATATTATGTTATTAATTTTTTTTGTTAACAATCCGAATAAATTCTATTTACACTTTAAAAAGTTGTGTCGTTTCAAAATTTGCGGTTGCATCTTTTCATTATAAATGGTTGCATCTTTTCATTATAAATGGTTGCATTTTTTGGACACAACTCTTATTTGTATCTTTTTTAAACTATTTATATTGCTCAAAACCACAAAAAAACTATTTGGGTCTAACTTTTACTTTCTTACTATGATGAATTTTATTTTGTCGTAAACATATTTATTTATCATAATATGTTATCATGATAAAAAATATTTAAAAGTCCTGGAGGTTCAGATATTGAATCATAGTAAAAGATTCTATTTGGAGGTTTAGTTTTGGCTAAAATATAAGCAGTTTCATTACAAAATTATTTGTTATAAAATAAAATTTATTCAAACAAAATCTAATGATATTTTTATTATAAAATATAATATATTTTTTGTTTACTAATATATATTATGTTATTTTTTATGAAAAATATCTATATATTTATAGTTAATTGTGTTATTTTCAAATTTTAATATTCTTTGTTAGTTGTTTATAAATTTAATATACCTGATATTTGAATTCTTTTTTCTAATTTGAGAGAAATATATTTATGTAATGTAACGAATTCACATATATTTTATATATGCATTTTAAGGTATCAAAGTTTTTATATTTTAACTATTATATTTATAATATACTTTTTAATATTGCGAATCTTTTTTAGAAACTATAGTAGTCTTAGAAAATGTATTATAAAATCTCGTTACATTGTTTTTTATTACATATATTTCCTGTAGTATTTTTTTAACAAATATCAATTTTTTATCATCAATTTTTGTTTCTAACTTTTCAATAATAAATGTATAGTTTTATACATTTTTTTGAAAGATTGCCTGTATATTTATTTTTTACTTTACACTTTTGCGCGAATACAAATTTTTAATAATTATATTTTTTCATTATAACTTTTTTTAACACTCTTAAAAAGTTGTGTATCTTGTTATTTTTCAGTTTTTTTATTTTTTCTATTAATAATTAATAATAACAATCCTAGAAAATTTTGTAAAAAATTACATATTTTTATCATAATTAGTTTGTACATTTTCATTTAGAACTTATTGTTAATAATTAAAAAAAAAACATGAAAATATCTTTTTCTTTTAATAATTATAAGTTGTTTTGAATGTTTACATTTTTTATTATATATATTTTACTTATAATTATTTTAAATAAAATTTTGTTTAATTTTTAACAAACCGCAGATTAACCCCGCGAAGCGGGGATCCTATTCCTAGTTTGAATTAAAATTTAAAAGATATAATATAGATATAGGTTGATATTAAATTTAATATATCAAAAAGTAAATATAAACAACTCGAAAGATATTTGCATAAAATTTTGGCAAACACATTAAATTTATTTTCATTTTGATAATATTTAAGATCAACAAACAAACGAATATTCCTTTTTAGTTAATATCTAACTTATTTAATAATTGAAGATAAATCTAACATTGAATTTAGAAATATTTCCTTCCCATAAACGTAGATTTGATCTTATCATCATAATTGTTATTAAAAAATAATTATATTGAAATCGGACCATCTTTATCCAAACTAACCAACCAATTAATTTAATAAATCATGAATAATACTAAATCGAGAATTAAATCATGGTTTTCATTAAAAATATAATTGGAAAAACCGATGGCTAAAGTATGGTGTGATCGAACGTGAAAGCACCACCACGTCGGAAATCTACTTATAGATTAAACTATGAATAAGAAATTCATTTTTCACTTTTGACCTTTAAAGCCCATTTCTTTGAGGAGCCTTCTTCTAAGCCCAATAGCTTCACTTGTCTCCTAAAGCGATTTGAGCCACAAAATTTAGTTATTTCTGATGAAAATAGCAAAAAATATTATATCAAAACTAAAACAAAAATCGACCACAAAATTCCGATCCTTTTCATCTGGGTATGGTTTATGATACGTTTAACGATTAATTAACACAGTTTAGGCACAATGGTACACACATAAACGATTAGAAACTCTACGATTTCTGAGCCTCGGGTCCTAAAATCCCGTTGACGACGGAAGTTGCGACAAGAACTCCGACGAACTCAGCCACAACGACTCCTCCGGCCTGTGTTATTCCGTTATAACTAACCGCCGTCACGACTTCTCTCTCCGCCGCCTCTAATCCTTTCTCCGCCGTCTCTACTCCTCTCTCCGCCGCCTCTAATCCTTTCTCCGCCGCAGCCACGCCTTTCTCCGCCGTCTCGAAGCCTTCCTTCACGATCTCCACCGCTTCTTCTTCCGCTTTTCTCAGCTTCTTTCTTATCCCGAACAGCGGAATATTCTCGGCCATTGATGCAGGCTGCAAGCCTGTCACCACCGTCGCTGCCGTCAAGGAAAACAGCAGATTCCTCCGAGACGCGCCGGATAGAGAGAGCGACGGAGGCGCGGGTTTGTTAGGATGCGCCGCGCGTGGACTAACATGCGCATATCTTGCGCAACGCGCCTGAAGGGCACTACCACCGCCGAGTAAAGAAAGCGAAGCCATTTTTCAGATGAAAGAAGAAAAAGCCTGAGCCAAGCAAAGTGACTATCGATTGTGATAGAGAAAATAGGAGAAAAAAAATCCAGTATATAATAAAATAAACAGAGAAAAAAACAATTGTCAAATGATATGCCACGTCATCTCCTTTGATATTTATATGAAATGGGAAATAAACATTTGATATGCCATGTCATTATAATTTTACTAATTTTTGACGCACTAATCTTTTTGTGCAACAACTACTCTAGAATCTTGTCTTTCTTGTTGGTCTTTTTCTTTGAATCGTCCAACAAAGTAGATAGAAACTTGTATAATCGTATACAAAGTTCTTAAAGCCCTTAACTATAGAAACCAGTAGATTAGGATTCCTCTAAAGTTCTTAGCATATTCATGAATTGTAGTTGTGGAATTTTCTTCTCAAAATAATATTTGTCATACAAGGAAAGAAAATACAAAAATCATTGCATTCATTATAAAGGAAAAAAAAAATATTTTTTAAAATTTATTCGACTTCAAAAATGTTAAATGAAACAAATTCAATTTTCATTATATTCCATTTATTTTTTTCACATAATTTTTTTTTATTTATTCCCTTTTTTTGGACAGCCTTCTATTTATTTCTTATTATTCAATTTGTTATTATCAATTACAGCCATTATCTCTCTCGAATCCCCTCGTCGTCACCAAACCAAGCTTCTTCTTCTCATCTTCTGTTAGAAGGATCGTGGCTGTTAGAGGAATCTTATTCATTCAATATATTAAAGATTTAAGTAAAGAGTCTTATTAAACCAAAAACTGAGTAATTAGGTCGCCAGAATCCCATAGCAGATCGGAATTAAGGGTTTGCTATCTCGTTGATTGTTGATTTAACTAAACCTACAATTAGGATTTTGCGCATGTCTTCCAACACTAGGGCAGCTAAGAAGAGGCAATCGTGGGAACCACGGTATCTCATGACGTTACTTCCCGAAGACGTCATCGTTGACATCATAGCACGTGTACCGAGATGCGACTATCCAACACTCTCCCTCGTTTCTAAGCAATTTCGATCCCTCGTTGCGTCCCCTGAGATATATGTGTTTGATCAGACTAAGGGTGCCTACAGCATCGATTGTAGATCTCACACAGTGCAGGCTCTCCCGAGCATGCCTATACCCATGTATCGTACAGTGGCTGACATCATCGACGGAAAAATATATGTAATTGGAGATATCTATTGTGATGATGGCTGGAAGAATGTGATAGTGGTGTTCAATACAGAAACACAAAAGTGGGAGGAGCCTGTGATAAAGAAGGAAAATAATTGGGAAAGAGACGAGATGCTGGATGTAAAGAAGTGGAAATATGCGTGTTTGGTTGATGATGTATTGTATTACTGCGATAGAGCTGAGAAAAGTTTAAGAGCGTATGATCCAAAGCAGAGATGTTGGGGAGTGGTGAATGGTTTGGAAGATTTGTTGGTTAAGATCAATGAGTGGTCAGTCATTGAAACTGTGAGTTACGGTGGGAGACTAGTTTTGTTTTTCTATGACTATAGAGGAAAAACAACAGAGCTTTGGTGTGCGGAGATATCGCTGGAAAGACGTCGAGGAAAAGAGATTTGGGGTCAACTTGAGTGGTGTGATCTTGTTCTGATTGCCGACGTATTAAAGCATGACGAAATCTATAGCTGTTACGGTTTGATGCAGAAATCTTCATAAATTGTGCTTGTTTTCTTTTCCTAAACTCATTTCGCTGATTTTGTTAATGTGATGTAAATGAAACTTCTTCATTTGGGTTCATACTTATTTCATAGCAAACCATTTATATAGTATATTTTTATGATAAATCATTATATTGAGAAAGTAAAAATCAAGACCTAAATGATTTTTTTGTGGTTTGAGAAATATATAAATATTTTTGAAAGAAAAAAAAAACACAACTATTTATAGTAAAAAAAAAAACTCAACAACAAAAAATGATAAAATTTATCAATATGTTATTCGAATTGTTATTATAGAACCTTAATTTTTAGTTGTGTGCCTTCGTATAACAATTTATCAATATGTTAATGTTCTAATCTATTTGTGCAACATTCAACAACTTAATTTCACTCAACTAAACTTGCATAAGTTGTATTGTTTTTAAGTTTTATTGTTGTAGAGTTTAGTTGCATACAGTATGAAGTTATTACATACCTTTTTTTTGCTACTATCTGAAGTATTTGTAATAGTTTGTGGCATACATATCTAGGCATATCAAGCGGGCTGGCCCAGCTCGTCTCGGCCCGAAACCCATAAAGCCCGTATATATTTATGTCAGGTCCGATCCTAACAGAGTTATCGAGCTTTTTCGAGTTTTTTAGAAAAATAAAATAAATTTTAAAAATAATCATAAATATAGTTTTATCAAATTTGAAAGCAAAACTTTAACTTATAAATTCATATAAATTCTAATATAAAATATAATTAAATAAATAAGTAATGTAAATAGTAGAAATGGTAGAAATCGAGATGAGAATCTTCAGGATGAAAGTATGAGTGTTTCTTGAAAGTAGTTTAGTTTGACCATTGATGTTATATGAAAGCACAACTAAAAATTAAGGTTTTATATTAATAAAGAATATTATAAAAAAATTAATAACTCTAAATTTTTAAAATTCTAAAGATAATTTATTAATAAAAAATTCTAAATAAAATTATAATATAAAGTACATGGCTTTTCGGGTAAGCCCGAGACCGATCGGGCTTAAGCCCAAATGGGCTTAGCACGAATGAGTTTAGTCCCAAAAACCCGATTTTTTGGGTTTTTATACTAAAGTTCAAACCAGTATTTTTTAGAGCCGGGCCGAACCGGGCTTCGGACCTTGGCCGAAATTGACATCCCTATACATATCTAGAATCTAGTTCTTTCTTGTTGTTTATTTTTTTGGCTGAATCGTCCAACAAAGTAGATGGAAACTTGTTTAATCGTATATCTTAAAACCCAAACCAGTAGATTTGAATTCCTTTGAAGTTCTTAGCATTTTAATTGTAGTTGTGGAATTTTCTTCTCAAGATTTTTCAACTATGACGAATTGATAAGAAAGAAAATAATATTTGGCATACATGAGTCCGTGACAATGAGCAGAATCATATAATATATATATAAAAAATCATTTTTGAATTTCAAGAAAGTATCCCACGAAACTTACGCTTGGGTCTTATAACTCTGAATTCTGCTCTGCTTCTGTTTTTGTAAGTTATGGAAAAGTTTGAGTATTTAAACGAGGTTCAAGTCGCAGCAGCGAAGCTGATTCAGAGCTATGGCGTTATAGCTATGGTCACCTTGTTCTTAAGCTGGACCGGGTCCTTCGCTGCAGTGTCAGTCATCTTTCATGCCTTAAACATTTTGATTTATGTATAAGTACTCTTTGGCCTGCGTAATTTAAATTGTTTCGATCTTTCAATAATCAGTTACCAATTTTTTTTTTGTGTAAAGTCTTCTGATGATATTGGATCGAACTAAATGGAAGTCAACCAATATGTGGACTTCACTATTAGCTCCTTACCTCTTCTTTAGCCTTCCTCTTGTTATTTTCCAGTTCTTGAGGTAACAATCAATACACACACACTCAGAGAGACAAAAGAGAGAACACATTTTTCTTCTTGTTGTTCTTGAGTATTTAACGATGATCTGATTAGATATTTGAGTTTAATCCACAGGACGGAGTTTGCGAAATGGATCGCTCTCCTCACAGTCGTACTCAGGCTTTTCCTCCCAAACCGTTTTCCTGGTACACAATCTTAGAACAGTACTATACTGAGAACAGTTTTAGTTACTATATATAAATAACGTTAGAGAATAGTTTGGGGTATAAATTATCATTCTGTTACCAATTGATTAGAAAGTCTTTTTGTGTAATTCTTTACCACTAATTTTATAAAACTTGCAGAGTCACTAGAGATTCCGGGTACAACAATTCTTCTTATTGTGACTGCGCCGAGTTTCTTTGTGAAAACATTCAGAGACGACTTGAGCAATCCGGGAAATTTCTGTCTTCTCACGAGCTGTTACCTTCTTGACAAACACACTAAAGCTTGTGGTGGTTACAAAAACTCATTCACTCAAAGGGACAACATCACTTGCACAATTTGTCTTTATCTTCTCTTTGTCTACCCTATTTGGTGCTCACTTTCTTGCCTCTTCTAAGAACCCAAATCAACCTTTTGCCTTGTCTGAATCTTGGTCGCTCGTGAATAAAAAAAAATGTCAATTTTTAATACTTTTTAAAGCATTAATTGTTTTGGTTGCGATAGTTTTTGTTATTATGGCGAATGTACTTTTTTTTTTTATGAATCTTGTACATTTTAAGCATATACATTTTAACAAAAAAATGTAAATGCTTAAACACACTAAAGCTTGTGGTGGTTACAAAACTCATTCACTCAAAAGGACAAAATCGCTTGTACCATTTGTCTTTATCTTCTCTTTGTCTACCCTATTTGGTGCTCATTTGCTTAGCCGCTCTTCTAAGAACCCAACTCTTCACAATGACAAAAATACAGAGCTTTTGTCTGAATTTTGGTCGCTCGTGGATAACAAAATGTCAAATTTCAACACTTTTAAAAATATTGATTTTGGTTGTGTTAGTGTTTGTTATTATGGCGAGTGTAAATTTCTTATAAGATGAAATCTACATTTTAAGCATTTTAAGTATTTTTTTTTTTTGTTAAAATATATAGTAAGAATAAAAGCCAAAGAAAAAAAAGAAACGAGACCGTTATAAAATTCTTGGACATCACAATATTTGGCAAGTTGAGTGGTTTTCAACGATTAAAAAGGCTAACGTTGTTTTCTTTTTCTCTAAAGAAAAAAGAAAGCACAATAAATTAGATTACTTACTATATGAATCAATAATAGCTTCCAAATTCCAACAATGGTGTTTACTAGTATAATTTTAAAAAAATTCTCATCTATCTATCTATCTACGTGTTATCTGATCGACTGAGTTCAACTTCAACCACATTTCTTGGGTTGATTATATAATTCCAAGAAGGCAAGAAGAAGCACGTGTCATGATTTGTATACTTTGTGAATCAACAATTAAGAAACTTGTTCCTCTGTATTCTTTAGTCTTTAACTTAGCCTCCCCGGTTCAATTATATTATAATTGGGATTTGGGTTTCTTGATCCAACCGGTCGGTTCGCATCAAGATCTTAGCATTATTGAACTTTGTGGAATTTTAGTCTCGAGACTTTTCAACTATGGATGACGATCGAGTTTATAATATGAAAGAAAATAATATTAGCTATCCATCCATGAGTCCGTGACAATGACAAACTAAATCATAAACACAAAAGGAATCATAAACAAGTTATTTTGGATTGGTTACGCTCGGTACTTTGGATCGTCATTCTTCTTCCTTTGTCCTCTTCTTCCTTTGATGTGAGTATCTTAAAGGGTTCAGAATTCTTGTCGCCATCAAACGGACAAACTCTGGTTTCTCGGGGGAAGAATTCGAGCTCGGATTTTTACTTTAAATGTCCGTTGTATTATCCCACCTCGCCGTAGTTTCTTTCTGCCTCCGGTATGCTCTTGTACCAAATGCTGAATTACCAACCTTGTTTTGCTCGGCTTCGAAAAACCTGAGCTCGAACTTTTCCCTCAAGAAATCAGAGTTCGTCCATTTGACGGCAACAAGAATTCTGAACCCTTTAAGACGCTCACATCAAAGGAAGAAGAGGACAAAGGAAGAAAAATGACGATCCAAAGTACCAAGCGTAATCAATCCATCACGAAAATAACAACAGAAAAAAAATAGTAAAAATCTTTCTTGATAGAACAGTTTTCAGACTAATCCAAAGACGCCGGAGCAAAATGTCAGAAATAACGTAAATGCCACCAAACTAACAAACGGTATGGGTAACATGATGGTGTGTTTTTTAGTTTTAAATGCTTGTTTGAAAAGTGTATATTGTTTCCTCTTTCATTAATTTTCCTCTTTACCTTACTTTCTGATTCAAAAATCCAGTTCCATTACAGTAACTGGAAATGTATGATGTTAAAGACTTTTCTATGGGGAATAAAAGAGTAATCTTTGACTTAGAATGGAATTCGAAGATGGTTCAAACACCGATCAACACTACCGACTTCACAGGAGGAGCCTCCGATCCGATAAGAAATATTCAGGATCCGATCATCGACCTAGCCACAGGGCTTCCGGTGGCCCACCAGACCGACCAGGAAGACAACACAACAACCGCACAGAACACTGGGGGAACATACCAGGTCGGTCAGACGGGTGGCACAAACACGACCAGCCTGCCACAGCCACCTCCCATCGACATGGCCACGATCATCAGGTCGGTTGCAGCACAGTTGCAACAGGGGATGGATGCTCGCTTCGAGTCCCTCCGTGCCGAGCATATAGCTTACAGAGAAGACTTGGATCGGCTTATAAACTCTAGGGTTCATACCCAAGAACAGACCGATCTTATCATTCCCCTTCGCCCTTCGATCCGCAACACAGATACGACCAGGCTGGTCAATAACTTGTTTGGCACGATACCAACGGACGACTTACGGAGAGCACAGGCAGACGGCTCGCATGCCCGCTCATCTCGCAATATCGCAGGAACCGACCCAACGACAACCTCGGAACTCGATCTTCTCCACCAACGCCTTGATGATATCCACAGCAAGATCCACAAGGCGACGACTTCAGCGCCCGAGTTGGATAAGATCTTTCAGGAGACACAGCAAACCCCGTTCACGTCGGCTATCACCAATGCTCTTCTTAAGGACATAGGTCGAATGAAGCTACCTCCGAGTTACTCCGGCACGACAGACCCGAAGCGACACCTGACCGCGTTCAACGCAGTCATGGGACGTGCTCGCTTCACCGATGAGGAACGGGAAGCATGCCTCTGTCAATACTTTATGGAGACGCTCTCCGGAAGCGCCCTCACCTGGTTCTCACAGCTTCCCAAGAACTCCATCGACAGCTTCAAGGAGCTCACAGCTCGGTTCCTGAAGCATTATTCAATTTACATCAACACGGAGTCCACAACGCTCGATCTATGGGCATGCGTCCAGGGCGACACGGAACCGCTGCGCGATTTTATCGATCGATTCCGATCAATCGTCTCCCACTGCAGTCTGTCGAACGAACTGTGTTTCAACATTGTTATCAAGAATTTGAAAGATGATTCATCGTTTTGTGAACGATTGAAGACAGAAAAAACCAAAACCCTCGAAGATGCTTTGCACAAGGCATCCGGGTACATCAGAGTCGAGGAGGATCGGGCAGCCAAGGCCAAGGCCAAGTTGGCCAATGAGAAATCTTCGCGCGACAAGAAAGGCAGATCGTCGAGTCAGGAAGATTACAAAGAGCCCCGTCAGCACTACGACAAGGATGACAAGAATCGCAAGAGCATCAACACAGTTGGACGACCAAAAAAGCCATGGAACGTGTGGGACCGCTCGAGCGACAGAGACCCCGACAGCAAGAAGTCGTGGTGCAAATACGATAGAATGCACGGTCATCATACCGATGATTGCCGCACCCTCCCAGCCCTCTTGAGGAAGAGGTGGGACGATGGCGAGATCACCCTTCCAGAACCCCAGAGTTCACGACGATCCGACGATGAGGACAGGTGACCCGATGACGATCGCGATAGAAGAGATAACACCGATCGCGATAGAAGAGATAACACCGATCACTCTTCTAAACGCGAAGGCAAGAAAGCAAAGCGTGACCGTGAAGACGATCACACACCTCCAAGCTCACCACGTCGGCGGATCAACATGATCATGGGAGGGCTCCTCTCGTGCACCGACTCGATAAATTCAATTAAACGGTACGAACGGAAGGCAGCCAATCCCCTGAAGGACACACCACTACTGTTCAAGGACGACCTACCGATCACATTCACAGAGCAGGATGCGCATGACATCGACCGACCTCATAACGATCCACTCGTCATCTCACTACGACTCGGAGAAGACGACGTCTCCAAAGTATTGATCGACACTGGAAGTTCGGTCGACCTCATCTTCATGGATACTCTACGCAAGATGAGTATCCCCGAGCGGGACATCAAAGTCGTACCATCACTGCTCACAGGATTCGCTGGAGACTCGATTTTGATAATAGGAACTATAACGATGCCTGTCACCATACGCGGGAAGTCAATTACGGTCAAATTCGAGGTTATTGACCGACCTGCGATCTACAACGCCATCTTTGGAACACCATGGCTGAATGCCTTGCGGGCCGTCCCTTCTCCTTACCATCAATGCATCAAGATGCCGATCAGGGGCCGTGTCATCACCATCTGTGGCGACCAGACAGTGTCCCGATATTGTTACATCGACAACAAGCGCGCCCGAAAGGCATCAACGTTCGTGATCGGTAGTAGTAGCGATTTCGACCCACGGATCGTTCATCACGACGAGCAGCCGAAGAGCGATCTTATCGCCCAAGTCAACATCGATGCTGCCCACCCGGAACGTTGCGTCGGTATCGGCACGAAACTGTTGTCTAGCATGCAGGACGAGCTGATCAGTTTCCTCCGAGAGAACGTTGCAACGTTTGCGTGGTCCATGGCCGACATGAAGGGCATTAACCCCCGAATAACGAGTCACGAATTGAACGTCGACCCAACCTTCAAGCCGATCAAGCAGAAGCGATGAAAGTTAGGACCTGAGCGAGCACAAGCCGTCCATGATGAAATAGATAAACTCCTGAAGGCCGGATCAATCGCCGAAGTAAAGTATCCGGATTGGCTTACCAACCCGGTGGTCGTCAAAAAGAAAAACGGCAAGTGGCGGGTCTGCGTGGATTTCACCGACCTTAACAAAGCTTACCCGAAGGACAGTTTTCCTCTTCCTCGTATCGATCAGCTCGTCGAGGCTACGGCAGGCAACGAGCTACTGTCCTTTATGGATGCATTCTCAGGATATAATCAGATTCTCATGAATCTGGATGACAGCGAGAAGACCGCATTCATCACAGATCGGGGCACCTACTGCTACAAGGTCATGCCGTTTGGTTTGAAAAACGCTGGAGCCACTTACCAGCGCCTGGTCAACAAAATGTTCGCCGACCAGCTTGGGAAGACGATAGAGGAATATATAGACGATATGCTCGTCAAATCAGCTAAAGCAGCCGACCATATCATCCATCTGTGAGAATGCTTTCTCA